ATGGATGGTTATGTAAAACGTCTAAAGTTTCTAAAGAGTCTCTCAAAGTCCAGTCTACTTGGTATTGAAAATCCCATGTGTTATAGAACGGCGGGTCCACTATAAAGAAAACATTTTCCTTGTCTTTATATTTTTCATACAACTCTGTCCAATAACATCTCACAAACTCTATACCCTCAATATATTTTTCTATGTCCTCTTTGAAAACATTTGTATAGTTAAGATATAAAACTTTTGACATAAGTGTTTCAATGTCATGAACTCTTATAGCACCACTATATAATAGTCTAGCAGATATACTATCCCAGTCTATATATTCTGCTTTTTTCAAAACCTCTCTCACAATATTTTTCTTATCTAATGGTATACGTTCCATCTTACCTATAGGTATCTTTTCTTTTAACTCTTTCAATATTTTGTTTGTGTCTGGAATATGTTTGAGACGGTCCATATAGTTGTCGAAGTCATTGCATATAATCTTTGAGTCTGGGAATATTATATGACATAAATGAGATATATAGAAACTTCCACCGAACAAATCTACAAATGTTAGACCATTCGGTAGTTTCTTAAGTTCTCTCAATATAATATCTTTACATCTACTCTTATTTCCAAAGAACGGTAACGGTGGTTTGGTAAAATTCATTTATATATAATAATAAAAATGTTTTTTCCTGAAAAGTGACAGAAAAGTGACAAAACATGAAAACATATATAATTTGTGAAAAGTGAAACATTATATAATGTTTTCGACCCAGAAGAAGGCTTCTTCCCAGAAGCAATAGAGGAAGAAGAAGAGTCCTCCGAATTCACAGCAGAAGACTAACAATTTTCCGAATAAAAACTTCATTTATACTAAACATCTTCAGGGCTAGAGGGCACGAAGTGCCTGGAAGCCCCATTTCCCTTTTTTTTTTTTTTTTTTTTTTTTTTTTTTTATAATATCTATTAACCATTTTTTGATGTTTGAAAGGCTTAAAGGCGTAATTTTTTAATTAAGTCATTATTTTTCATTGTTATATAATACAGATATAATATTTTATATAAAAAGTGTAATATGTATTAACGATGTTATTTCAATGATTGAATGCCTATTCAATATCAAAAGATTTTAACATTCAATTTTTGATAAATTAATATTGATAGATTCATAATTTAATACTCTTTTGAAATTTAGAAATTTTGTTTTAGAAGGGAAAAATCTATTTCATGAGATTATTTTATTATTGGCTTGATGTAAAGAAAAAATACATTGTTATTTTATATATGTCTATTCAATATTTCAAATTGATTTACAATTAAATATTTTTTGAATGATATTTCAAAATTCGTTTATTAACAAAACAAAGTTAGTTAAATTAAAGGATAGTTCAACATTACAATCAACTAACTATTTTATATTCTTATCGACAAAATTAATTGTTAAAAGAAAAAGCTAATAGGTACTTTCAAATTCAATTGTATATCAATATATGTATTTTCACAATTTATCCAGCGTATTATTAAATAGCACATTATAGATGGTATGATATACAACAATTTATTGGTTTCAAGATGATTTTTTTGCGCTTTATGAAATTTTCTTATTAAAAGGAAAACACGAATATTTTTACAATTGAAATCCTTTATACATCATAAATTATATCATTTTTTTCAAGAAAAACTAGAATCATTAAAAAATCAATAATAATTATAACGAAACAGTAAGCAGAATCATTTCACTTAGAGCCATTTAATACAGAAAATACCTTCTGCAATCCAAAAAAAAGTTAATGAAATTAAATAATTTTTTAGGTGTTTGAAAGCTTAATGTTATAATTTTTATTCTAATTGTAAGAATGAAATTATAAACATGATATCAAATGTCCAAAAAATTCATTATTTTTATAATTTTATCATTTTTGAAATAATTACTATCATAGATATGACATTTATTACGGTGCTGATTCACAAATTTCTAAAGTAGCTTTATATCAGCTTAGAAAATGAAGAAAAAAATATTTTCGACATTTTTCCGTCAGAAAACCTAAATTATAAATTAATAAGCAGGAAATCAATCAAAAATACAGAAGAAATAGTTATAAAATGCATCTGCCTATAAATACATAGTTTTTTGAAAATTTATCATCATAATCGAGAATAACTTGAAATCTGATAGTAAATAATTAACTTCCTATATTGTCTGGAATATAATGTACCAGAAAATCTTTCAAAGCCCATACTCTGAAAAATTGCTATTTTCTCTTCGAAAGTTAGAATTAATTAAACATCTCTTATATATTTATAAGCTCTATTATAATAGTTTAAGTATTCTCCACATTATCAAATTGAGCCTCGTTTTTGGAATCAAAGATAGGTCTCAAAAAGATTCTATGGAATTCAATTGCAAAAATTCTGTTTGTTCTTCAAAGAAAAAATAAACTCTTCAGTTGTATTTACGACACTACTATATCATTTACAGTATTGAAATAAATTGGATGCGTTCTTTGGTGTCAAAAAACATAATTTACTGAATCAATTAAAAAAAAGGTAGTGGGGCTTCCAGGCGCGTTGCGCCCTCTAGCCCCGAAGATGTTTAGTATAAATGAAGTTTTTATTCGGAGGGCTTCCAGGCGCGTTGCGCCCTCTAGCCCCGAAGATATTTAGTATAAATGAAGTTTTTATTCGGAGGGCTTCCAGGCGCGTTGCGCCCTCTAGCCCATAAGAAATTTGCCCAAGACCCAAGAGGAGGACCGAACCCAGCCGACCAGCCGGTGACAAAACCAAAACCGTTGTTATTTACATCATATTAATGGTGTCACTTTTTAAATGTCACTTTTTGTTTCACTTTTCACAAATTATATATGTTTTCATGTTTTGTCACTTTTCTATCACTTTTCGGGTAAAAACATTTTTATTATTATATATAAATGAATTTTACAAAACCGCCGTTACCATTCTTTGGAAATAAGAGTAGATGTAAAGATATTATATTGAGAGAACTTAAGAAACTACCGAATGGTCTAACATTTGTAGATTTGTTCGGTGGAAGTTTCTATATATCTCATTTATGTCATATAATATTCCCAGACTCAAAGATTATATGCAATGACTTCGACAACTATATGGACCGTCTCAACATATTCCAGACACAAACAAATATTGAAAGAGTTAAAGAAAAGATACCTATAGGTAAGATGGAACGTATACCATTAGATAAGAAAAATATTGTGAGAGAGGTTTGAAAAAAGCAGAATAATAGACTGGGATAGTATATCTGCTAGACTATTATATAGTGGTGCTATAAGAGTTCATGACATTGAAACACTTATGTCAAAAGTTTTATATCTTAACTATACAAATGTTTTCAAAGAGGACATAGAAAAATATATTGAGGGTATAGAGTTTGTGAGATGTTATTGGACAGAGTTGTATGAAATATAAAGACAAGGAAATGTTTTCTTTATAGTGGACCCGCCGTTCTATAACACATGGGATTTTCAATACCAAGTAGACTGGACTTTGAGAGACTCTTTAGAAACTTTAGACGTTTACATAACCATCCATGCTTTTACTTTACATCCGATAAAAGTGGTTTGGAAACCGTTATGAGATGGTTAGAGGACATACATGACTATGAGTTTATATATGACAAGATAGAATATGAGAGAGGTCCTATAAACTGGAGAAAGTGTCACAATAAAGAAATTTTATTAGTAAGTAAATGTGGTTTGAAATAGGACTACTTGTTTTAGGTTTTTTCCATTGTGTCATTTATTTATTTGACGTGGCAGAAAAGTACAGAGAATATGAAGATGAACCAATGCCTGCAAATGTTCAGTATATGTACTCGTAAGAGATATTTTTATCTAATATTAAATGGACGCACAGAACTTAGCGAATGCACAGCAACCTGGACAACCAAACCCAGAGAATATTCCAAATGAAGTTAGAATACAAACTGCAATGGCAAACTATGGTCAAGTGCCAACAGATGTACAAATGCAAACTGCCATGTCAAATGACGCTGCGTTAGGTTTGCCACCATGGTATGCAAATATGAGATGGAAAGAGTTTTATACAAACACCTGAAGTGGGATATAAACAACTTTATGCAGATGACGCGAACACAGGAGTTGACCCAGAATATGTTTTCTACCAGAGGAGAAACAGAATGTATGAGCTCCAGTTAAAGAATGCTATGGAACTCAACAGGAAACGTAAGAGACTAGGCGGACATTAGATTTTTACATATAGTAAAATGGGTTTCTTCAGTAAGATAGGAAACTTCTTTCGAAATGTTGGAAGAGGTATATGGAATGGAATAAAAATCTGTCGGAAGAGGAGTATGGAACGGTGTCAAAAATATTGGTAAAAGAGTAGGTCAGTTCGTTGGTATTATACCTAAAGACCCTGAACCAGAAGAGCAAGCTCCTGTTATACAACAGCCTGAACCTGCACCACAGTCTAGTTGGCAACCAAATCCAACACTCACCGTATTAAAAAATTATATTTTTATCGTTCGATAGTAGTTGTATATGAAACTAAGTTCTAAGTAAAACGCATGATATAATGGAATTATTCTTTTTCTTCCATCTGTAGTAAACCATACTTGAAAGTCTGAAATACTTCCACTTGGTGGTTCGTATAACTTTGTAGGTTTTTCGTAAAAGTCATTTGCCAAGCATAAGAAAGAGTTTTGGGCGCCAGAAAATGAAGCATGAACTATCACAGCATCTTGGTCGAAAACATCTTTAAATAAATATGGTTCATCTCTTGCATATCGACTGTAGATATTTGCTAAAGGAGGTTCAACTTTCTGATTTAACATTCTTTGCAATAATACCATGACATTGCAGTGAATTCTGTATATATTTGTTCGTCTTTATTTGGATTGTCTTCGTAGATTTGAAATGACACTTGTGAATTTTGTTTGTCATATACAATTCTCACATAAAGTGTGCTATCGGTATTCGCATATTCATCAGCATATTTTGCATAACATGAATTTATTTTATCTTCTATATTTTTAATGCAGCCTGTAGAGAAGATGAGAGGTCAACTTGTATTAGCTCAATTTCTTCCCACATTTTTCGTTGCCCTTCAGATGTATAATCTATATGAAACCTTATAATAAATGGAAAACTTTTATCTTCTACAGACACAAACTTTATTCTTCGAAAGCCAATAGCTTTTGTGACAGATGGGTCTCTTAACCATCTTAATGGGTAGTCAAAACGATAGCCTTCATGCTTTACGGTATCTGTCTCAAACTTTTGACCGACATTAGTAAAAAGTTCATCTAATGGTTTAGTTGTAGCAACTCTAGAATTTTCTTTTTCTATTGGAAGCATATTTTATCTATAATAAAAATGTCAAATGAAACAGCGTCTATGAGAGAAATACAACACAACCGACAACTCATTATGCAAGCTCTAAATAAGAACACAACAAACTTTTCAAACTATTCTAAGATATCTGAGTTATTGAAGGGGGGTGACTTAAAACTGACAATAAACCCAATGACAGATGAGTTTCTGTTTCAAGACAATAAGAACCATACTGTCTGTATAAATCCAACAAAAGGAACTTTAAACGAGAAACCTATAAATGAACTTCTTTTGAAAGCAGATGTTGACAACAAAGCTGACAAAGAATATGTAGACGATGCAATAGCAAAAGAAGAAGAAAGAGCTAACAATGCTTATGCAACAAAAGAACATACTCATCCTGAACTAGCAGACAAAACATATGTTGACAATAAAATGTCAAGTGAAGTGACAAGAGCTGAAAACGAATATTCTAAAAAGACTCATATACATTATATTAACCAAATACCAAGTCTTAAGGAAACATTAGAGACAAAAGCAGATAAGACTCATACACATTCTATATCTGATATTACAAACTTACAAGAAACCTTAAACAGGAAAAGTGACATTGGACATACACATACCATTGCAAATATTACAAACTTACAAGAAACCTTAAACAGGAAAAGTGACATTGGACATACACATACCATTGCAAATATTACAAACTTACAAGAAACCTTAAACAGGAAAAGTGACGTTGGACATACACATTCTATATCTGAAATAACAGACTTAAACGTTAGCCTTGAAAAGAAAGCAGATAAAACATATGTCAATGAAATATACCAAAGTTTGATAGGAACAAAAAATATTGAAAATTGTTGGTGACTTTTCTGTCAATGAAGAAAATAAATATTTTAGATGGCAGTTGGTACAGTCCTTAAAAAATGGTACATGGCATAAACTCATTCCGAAAAATAACAATGAAATGTATGTAAGCTATAAAAAGAATGATGGTACACAAGTTAAAGTTCCATTAGACAACAACTGCTACTTAAACTTATATGGAGACGAACAAAAGAAATATTTAAGAGTTTATGAAATGGCAGATATGACATTGCCTGACCCAGCTCCAGCACCACATTATTATGACTATGGAGATGACGACAGAACACCACATGTAGATGAACAAAAGCTAACATTATATTTAGATTATTATAGATATAAAAGATATAATGCAATAGAAAAAACGAGAATAGTATATTATTATACAGATGACAGAAATAAATATTACAGTCAAGATTTTACCTACCCTGAAAACATAAGATTATATTATAAAAAATATTCTGACACAAACCAGAAGAAACCTGAAATAGTTGCACTATATTTTAAGTTCAAAAAAGACAATCCTATAATATCTCATATGTTTGATTTAATGAACCCAGTAGGTTCTATTTATACATCTATGGATGCAAGAGGTCCTCAAGTAATGTTTGGTGTTGGTGCATGGGAACAAATAGTCGACAGGTTTTTGTATTGTGCAAACTCTTCAAAGGAAACAGGTGGAAGTAAAACGATTTCAGGTGAAAATTTACCTGCACACAGTCATTACATAGATTTAAGTACATCTCAAGCAGGTTGGCATAAGCATAGATATTGGGATTGGTCAGGAATGACAAAAGGTAAAGGATATGATGTTAAAGACGACGTTAAGTTTGCTATAAATTGTTACTGGGATGACACTCAGGGAGAAGGAAACCATACACATTTCGTTTCAGGATATACACAAACAACGGGACAAAGTAAAGAATACATGCCACCTTACATGACAGTTTACGCATGGTATAGAATTGCTTAGTCGTCATTTTCAACTTCTTTAGCATATTCGTCAGGAGTTGTCTTATATTTGTTAGGAACTGTCTTTGAAAGTATACCACCTTGAACTTTGACAAGTTTGAAACGAGGTCTGACAATAGTAGTTTTATCTTCTGCTTGCAGTGTGTACATTTTGCCATGTTTGCCTAAAACTTCATAATATTCTCTTGTATACTTTCTTCTATTTTTACGAACACGAATGTGAGTACCTGTCGGGTTCCCATTGTTGTCATAGTCAATAGTATTTTCATATGGGTCGCGTTTAGGTATTTCTATTTTTACTTTGTCACCTTTCTGAAGTTTGAAGCCCGGCATTCTTTCTTGTTTGTCTCTTTTGACTAAATTATTAAATATATAGTCTTTCTCTAAGTCAGGGTTGTTTTTCATTTCTTCGGGGGAGTGGTTTCCCAAACCTTTTTGTTTACGGTTATTGTAAATATTTAAAACTTGTCTCATCTTTGCCATGGAGAAGTGTCTATACTTGTCGTCATATGACATTTCATTTGCTTCACCACCTTGTGGTTGGTTTAAGTCTCTTAACATTTTTATACAACCGTCAATGACACCAAGAGCAGAATGGTTTTGGTCGACAATGAAATATTGGTTTACATTTTTTGAACGCAGATAGTTTTTTACATCATCTGATTTGAAAGAACTTTCACAGTCAGATGTCAGTTTTGTTGGATGGTATTTGTCAACGAATATTGTCAAAGCAGTTTTCACATCTAAAATATTTTTGGACCATAATGGTATGGCTTCACAGTATCTTGTGTTTTGACCAACAAATATTAACCAGTATGGAGGTCCATCTGTTCTAACTCTCGGAATGTTTTCCAAGATATCCATAAACCAAGCATTTGGTGTTGAACTAAAGATTTTTATCATGAGTGCTTTCTTTGTCGCTTTAGAAACATAGGGGTCCTTGTTCGGATTCGTCATTTTTTACCCTATAAGAAATGGGTTTATTTGGCGCATTAGCAGGAGTTGCATCCAGATTTTTACCCGCAGTGGGAACAATAGCCAGAGGTGTATTTGGAGTTGGAAGGAAGATTTTGAGTACATTAGGTATACTTAAAGAGAAAGCACAACCTATTATACAAACTGTACAGAAAGGTTGGGATGTAGCACGAGATGCAACAAATCTTATTCCAAATCCTGAAACAAGAGGAAAAGTTCAAGGATGGATGGACAATGTAGGAAGACAAGCAGGAAACTATTATAACAAAGCAAATGACTACTATAACCAAGCAGGACACTATATGGACCAAGGTGAAAGATTCTTTAACAGAGGATATAACCATGCACAACAGTGGGTAAACAATAACCAACCTCAACCGCCTCAAACGTGGGGAATGTAAAGTTTTTTATTGAGATGAAATGAACAATGCAGCATTGAGACAAATGAGTTCAAGATGGATTTGTCGGCTTCCAGCATTTAAACCGATACCATATAGTCAGGCTCAGCATGTGAAACTGAATGATATTATTAAAGGAACCATCCCACCTCCACAACAACAACCAGTTGAAAACAAACCAAACTAAAATTTTTTACTGAGATGAAATGACCGAAGAAGTTGAAACGGTAGATTTGACACCACAAACAAAAAGTTCAGAACCATTGTCAAAACCTGTCAAAGAACTTACAGATGAAGAGAAAAATTCAATAATAGAAAGTGCCAGGTCTGGAAATACAAACCCTAACTATAAAGTCACTTTTCATAGAAATGGAACGGCTAGTATCTCAAAAAAGAAACAGACTCTCACAAATAAAATATTGAAGTCTGAAGGAGCTTTCGAGACAACAGATGGAAAAGTTTACTTCACTGACCAACAGTTCATTATAGAACATCTCATTGACTTAGAGTCGAAATATTCTAAACTTTACAACAAACACAAAAAGTTGAAAGGAAAACAAAAACAAATGGCATATGATATTTATGAAGATGTTGACGACACAACTGTTCCTGCAAGTGAAGTAAAGTCAGAGGAACCGAAAAGTGACGAAAAACCGATAGAAGAAGAAAAACCAAAAACTGAAGATAAACCAAAACCAAAGTTTAGTTTCCAAACTAAACCAAGTCAACCTTCATTAGCTGGTATGGGTTGGCGTCAAAGACTTATGGCAGCAGGCGGTTATGTAAAGTAAAGAAAAAAATATTTTTTTATTTTTATAAAAATGCCCCCATATAGAATGGATAGAAAGTCTGCTAGAATAAAAGCAGAGTTACAAAGATATGGTTGGAGAGTTTCGAAGAATTTTAAATATAGGAAGGGAAGACCCATAAAAGTCTATGACAAATTGTCTGGTCTTCGCTACGAAATGGATTTGGAAACAGCACGTGCCAATTATCCAAACAGACTAGAGAGGTTAGAAGAAGAACGTCTTATGGACATGCCTTTCGATGTTAGTGAACCTCAAGTTGAAGGACACGACGGCTTTGCCAGATTCTACTGGAAACATGACGAACAATTGCATCCTTTGAGAAGGAAAAAAGGAAAAGGTGAAGACGCACATGCTCCCATGGAAAGAACAAGATATGCATATGAAAAGTATCGTGAAGTTAGAAGTCAAATTACATCTGGTCGAACCTTTACAGTAAACTATGACGAAGGAAAGAACAAAGAAGGCTTCATGGGAGTACTTGCTGCAATTCAAGACGGAAATAAGAAAGGACACAATCTCAGATTGACCATAACAGATTTGGATGGTCACATTTACTATGCACATGGCAATGAACAAACAGCCGCAAAACTTCTTGACGCTTTCAAGACTACAAAGAGAGAACAAATGGTTGACTCCGACTCAGACATTTTGAATGCAATTGAAGGAATTGCAAGTGTCAAGTTCGAATGGTACCAACCTAACCCTCAAGCAGTCAGACAACATGCTGGATACTTCCCGTTCATAAATAAGTCTGACATTGACTTGACAAGGTATGGAATTTACAATTCAATTGAAACAATTGTCAATGAACCTTGTATTCTTACATGTCTCAGGAACTCTGGTCTTGTTACAGATGAGAAGATGAAGTATCTTGAGTCATGTGTGAAGACAAGGTACATTCTCAGAGGTCAATTGGCAAAAATTGCACCGTTGGCAAATGTCAATATCCGAGCCAACATACCTACAGCTAAAGGTTCTTCAAATGACGACTATGTTGTTGACAAAGACTTACCATGGTTGAAGATTGTAATTGTCCACAACCACTTCATGTTGAACGAAAGTCTTACAAACCCATTCTTTGGTAAAAGTAAGTGCAACATTGTCAGAGCTGTAAACATTCTTTTCGAGAAAGGTTTGTTGGAACCAATTCCAGATGACAAGCTGACAGAAAACTTTTGTACAAAAAGAACGAAACAATTTTCATTGTTAGCAAGACCAAAAGTTGTTCCAGACAAAGTTAAGTACAAAAGAAGTACACAGTTCCACAAGGGTTTGGTATGTTCGGATACCAACCTGAACCAGAAGAAACTTCCAATGAGGTTGCAAGAACTTCAAGATGCTATAAACAAACTTCCATTGAGACATCCAATTGACGTCAAATTGTATTGGAGAGGCATCTGAGTTAGGTCAGAAGGTTTTATATGAAACAGGTTGCTTCGACATGTTTATGAGATAACAGGAGAAGTTTCTCAGAAGATAAGAGACTCACTTGAATTCCACAAACTGGACAATTGGTTGCGACAAGTTCGACTCAGATGAAAAGATATACTATGTCGACCTTAACGCTGCATACATGAGGTTTGTCAATATATTCCGACTGGAATTCCAAACGAAAGATGGTGAGTTCCCGGGAAGGAACTATACAGTTGGAAAAGTCATACAACAACTGTATGATATTAGGAAAGCTTCAAACCCCAACTTGCAATGATACTCAAATTGCTTATGAATTCGACATGGGATATTCCATTAAGAAACCTCAAGAGATGAAGAGTAAACATTATGAGAAGGTCGACAACTTTGTTGAAAGGTTTTCTCCTTTTGTTTTGAAGTACGAATTCACTCAAGGTCAAAGTGGCTTAGTAACCACATTAAAACCTATTGTCGAACATTGGTCTTACCCTTAGTTCGCAAAGGCAGTCCTTGACAACTACAACAAATTCTTCTCCGAAGTCAAATCCAAAGTGAAGGTTTACTATGAGAACATTGACGCACTCATGACGAACGAAGAAGGCTATAACAAACTCATTGAAATGGGTTTAGTCGGTGAAAAGATGGGCTGTTTTAAGCTAGATAAGGTATTTTCCGAAGTTCATGTCCTCTCCAAGCGTAAGTACTGGGGTGTTAAAGAAGATGGTGAAATAGTTAAACATTGCATGAAGTAAAAACGTTTTTCAAAAAAGTGACATTTTTTATTTTATTTGAAATGTACGCTGAGTTTGTTGGAGAAGACCGTTGGGAAACTTGTTTGTTAGATGAGAAATATGAAATTCACTGTTGTGAGTCATTTGAAGTCAGAAACAAAAAGACAAAAAGAGTTTTAAGCGAATGGGAGCGAAATGACGGATATGCTATTATGAAGATGGGTGGAAAACACTATCTTAAACATGTTGTCATTGCAACTCATTTTATACTGAATCCTAACAATTTACCTTTTGTAGACCATATAAACCATATAAGAAACGACAATAGACTTGAAAACTTACGTTGGGTCACTCGTTCTGAAAACAATAAGAACAAAGGCAAATTTGGAGATATTGTATTCGAATTTGTCGACGAACTAGAAGATGAAACAATTGAAATTACAGACTATGGCAAGCATACGTTTGAGTTTTACTACTATAGCGAAGAACAAGACTCTTTCTACTTTTATACCGGCGTAAACTATAGGAAATTACAAGTATATTTTACTAAGGCGGGCTATGCTTATGTAAACACTAGAGATACAGATGGAAAATACGTTCAAATACTTCTTAACAAATTCAAGAAGCTATATGGCATACCATTTAAAACAATATATTTTTACATATATTAAATGCTTCAGGTTGAAAAACAAAGAACAAAAGTAGCAGATACAAAACCGTTAGACTATATCTTTACAAATGCTGGTAGGACTATTTCAGATGAAGAAATTTCATCCGAGCATACATGTTTGACTATCCAATTCGTTGGCTTCAAAGTCCTTCAGATGCAAAGGCAATAGGATTTAGAAGAGTTTTGTTTTCAAATAGAGCTAACGCATTTATGTTCGCAGTATATTTTCATGGGCAGTATGAAGGTCCTGATGGTCTAATAGACAAATTTGACGAAATGAGAATCTTTACAGTTCGTTCGACGACGAAAGTCTTGAGAAAACTCTAGATGACTTTCAAACTCAAATGAACAAATATTATTGGGAATTTCAAAAAATACGACTCTTTACTAAATGGAAATACTATCTGAAACTAGAATATGACAAGATGAACTCCACCGTTTCATTTCAAAAGATTGAAATTAACCCTCCAAGAGATACAGAGTTTTTATTTTGGGAAGTAGACAAACGTTCTTGGGCACAATTTCTTCGGTTACTAAACCAGAACGAACATTACCACCAGATGGTCCATTTAAATTTATACTTCCACCAGCAGATTTGATGGTTTATAGAAACGTGTTTGACCCTCAAAATGTTATGTGTCATGCAAGTTTCAGTTCAAGCAACAATAGTTTTCTATGTATTGGTAAGGACCTTTATGACTTTGCTTTCTAAATTCTACGAACCACCTAGTAACAGTTTCTCTGACTTTCAAGTTTGGTTCACAACAAATGTGTGCAACATATTATTCCATTGTACTATGACTTTTATCTCGAATTGTCTTTCATATATAACTACGGAAAAGTGCTGAAAAAGTATTGAATGTGAAGATATTAGAAAAACATTTTTTCTAACATCGTAGAAAACTCATGAAAAACAATTTATTTTTGACACTTTCACAAAAAACATAAAAAAAGTGAGTTAAAATGAGATGTTTACTGAACTGGTTGGATGTCGCCTTCTGAGGTTATGTAGAACGGCTGACCCGAGAAGTGGAACAGTGCTCTGAGAATTTATATAATTTGTGGAATTGGACTCTCTCTGTTTGGAAGTTGTATCCATGGGCGCTTTGCAAAGAACTTGAGAAGAGCTTCTTTCTTCATCTCCTTTATGTCGTCTACAGGAGTGTTTTCTGGTATTTGAATTGGAATTCCGGTTTCAATTTCGATTTTCAGCGCACCTCTTCCAGACAACCAGAAGCCGAGGGACTTGTTGGCTTTGTCCTTGCCCAAGTACTGCTTAACAACTTCATTTATCTCTATAAGGTAAATTGCCTCATCTAATGGCTCGATGTTGTCCATTGTTCTGTTTCAGAACTAGTCTTGTACTTTTTCAGAACAATACTTGTACTGTTTCAGAACAATACTTGTATGGATTTTTCTGGATAATATAGGGTGTCCAAAGGTGTGTTTAGCACAAACCTGAATACTGCGAATAGAAATAAACAAGTTACATATATATAAAGTTTATTTAAATATAATCACCATTGGATTCAATCACGCGTTCGCAGCGATCGATCCAGGCTTGAAAGACACGCTTTAAATCATCATGAGAAAATTGCTCAAATTGCTCTCTTACAAAATTTTCAAGATCATCTGGACTCGCGAATTCGCGTCTTTCAGCTCTCTTTTTTAGCGTGCCGAATAAATAAAAGTCAGAGGGTGCAATATCAGGTGAATAAATTGGGTTTGGAACAACTTTGACATTGTTTTCCACCAAGTAATTCATTACCTTATGACTTTTGTGAACTCTTGAATTATCAAAATGAATTGCAAACTTTTGTTTTGTTGTTTGGATTTCTCAAACTCATCAGAATTGATAATTTGAGTAAGAACATTGTCAATTAGATACTGAGCATTCATCGTATTAGGTTTATGAAGAATATCAATTGCGATGATGCCATTCACGCCCCAAAAAACCGACAACATCATCATTGGTGTGTCAATTTTTTTCTTCGGAATGTTTGCGATTTTCATCCTTCGGGATCCACATGATTTTGGCTTCTGTTGCATATTGAAACCAAGACTCGTCCCCTGTTACTAAAAAGCGAAACTTCTTGGATTGATACGCACCCAATATAGAGAGGAGCTCTTTCGAAGATTGGACTCTAGATTTTTTTGAACTGAATTAAGGTTGTGCGGAACCCAACGTGTATACGCTAGTTTGTAGTTCAAATAATTGTGCAGATAATAACTGACTGTTGTACTTGGTATCTTTGTCATCTCCTCTATCCTTCTGAGTGATGCTCTTGGGTCTTCATCTAGCGCTTGAAGAATTGCTTTGATTTTTCTTTGATCCGGCGATTTTTTGTCAATTTTTATGATGGGCGCCTTTTTGTTCATGAAGTGATACATCCTAACATGATACGTTACAGTGGAATAGCTAGGAGCATCCATACCGAAGCATTTTACCAATGTTCGTAGATTTTTTTACAGTCTTTGCATTTTTTTGCAAGAGCGAGGATGTTTTCTTTATGATTCATTAAAAAAATGAAAAAAATCCCGCCAAAATTTCCCGCGAAACCGCCTCTTGTCTCAAAATTCATTTTATATCCCGGCATGGCGCCAAAATACAACATACTCATCATATACATATATTCATATTTTTTATTATATATTTATAATCAGCATATATCTCCTTTAATAGTCTCATATAGAGCGCTGTGCTAAACGCACCTTTGGACACCCTATATGTCAGCCGAATTTTTCTTAGACTCTTGGAAAGATTCCATATTCACCTCATACTCTTGTTGAGGGTCAAGATTTTTCGGCTGTTCCAAATCTTCATCTAGTTCTGTGAAGTTAGTTTCCAAAGGAGGGACTTGTTCGTTTCCTTCAGGCTCTTCTAGCTGTTGTTGCTGAACTATTTCTTCCATGTCTGGTTGTATCTGAACTTCTTCCTGTTGAGTTTCTTCCTGTGGAGTTTCTTGTACCTCATCTGCTGGCATTTCATATATTCCGAGACCGTTTTTAACAAGTTCCCTATCTAAGTCATCCAGACTCATAAACCTTTCTTCTTTCGTTCCGTCTCTATTTTTTTACGCGTTTCATGAAGAGATTGAATTATCATTTAGCTCTGACATCAAATATCTCGGAGTAAATTCATTCATGTCATTTGGATGATATGCTATTAAATCATATCCCTTAGCGAGCTTGTATTTTCCAGGTTTGAGATTATATCCGATTTGATGCTGAGCCATAAAGCTAATAGGTTCGGGTCAGTATTTCCTTCCTTGAACTTTCTAATAGCTTCTTTATATCTGTCACTAAAGTCAAGAGTATCTGTGTAACCATAATCTTCCTTAAGCATTTTTAAGAATTCTTGGTTTCCTTTTTCTCTACTTCTTTATGTCCTTGCTCTGTTTGTGGTTGTTGTTGTGCAGGGTTTTGAACTGTTGGTTGCTGTGCTGGTTGTGGAGGTGGTTGTTTGTGCTGGTTTTGGTTGTGGTGCTGGATTTTGAACTGTTGGTTGCTGTGCAGGGTTTTGAACTGTTGGTGCTGTGCTGGATTTTGAACTGTTGTTTTGGTTGTTGTTGTGGTGCTGGATTTTGAACTGTTGGTTGTTGTGTTGGTTTTGGTGCATGCCTGTGTCTGTGTCCATGTGACGATGTAAATGTTTTAGGTAGTCCTGGTGCAGGTGCTTCTCTGGAGGGTTTGGTGGTATATAAGTTCCACCAGCTGGCACATATGTTCCATCTGCAGCATAATGTCCTACCTGACTTTTCGTTCTTAAGAAAGCATTTACTAGGTCTGTTTTGGTCTGTTGTAACTCTTTTTCTTGACTTTCCACAACAGTTGCTCTAACGGCGTCATAGGCACTTTGAACTGCCTGTCTCGTTGCTGCATCTGTTATTTTCGTCATATTTTGTGTTACTTCTCTTAACTCTTTGTCGAAACCTTCAGACTTCAGTTTCTTTCCAGATGAGAAGTCGTTCACTAGTTTCACCTTACTATGAAGATTCGAAGGCATTCTTAAAGTCAGCATTCATTAAAGCTTCATTTGAACTGTCTTCATCCGCTTGTATTTTTGTCCTTATTGACCCTATAAGTTGGGCTGCTTTAGCGTTGGCTTGGGCATCTAACCAGTCATTATTAGCTTTTATATATTCTGCGCTTTTCATTGCCTTTTGCATGGCTGAGTCGTTATTTTTACTTTCTTGTGCTAAGTTTTCATACTGTACGGTTTGGTTTTGCAACTGTAAAAGTTTTTCTGCCTTTACATTTGCTTCAACTTCTTTTTTATACTCATCGCTATCCATATATGTCTTCATGGCTTTTTGTTTTATCTCTTCATCTTTCAGTACTTTATATTGAGTAGTATGGTTTTTCAAATTTATAACATCTTGTTCCATTTTTGCTACTTCTGCTGCTTTTTCTGACACTTTTTTCGCATATTCCTCTGTACTTAGTTCTTTCAGTTGTTCTTCTTTCTTCTTTTTCTCTACGTTTAACTCATTGAGTTTCTTTGTGTGTCTGTCATATTCTAGTTTCTTTTCGTTTTCACTTATTTGTTTCTGTATGTCTATGTTTGACTTTTTGACATCTGTTATTTGATTTTTGAGTGAACTCAAATTCATTTGACTTTGAGGGTTATAAGCTGTTCCGTCTGCAGCTCCACCATAGCCTGCCATTTTCGCTAAAAGTGCCGCTCTTAAACCTCCACTCTGTGCACCAATAACTCGGTTTAAAAGCATAGGGTTGCTTGACATTTGTTGCAACATAGTGGGGTCATTCATCATTTGTTGTTGCAACTGTTGTTGTGGTGTCAGTTTTACTATTGGATGTTTCAATGCTCCCTTCCTCTTACGTATATTCTTACGTAGCTTACGTGGCATTTTAAGTGAAGTTAAAAAGCGGTTTTTGACAGATGTTTATATGACACTTTTTGTTCAGCACAAAAAACTACTCGGTCAAAGTGTTGTCATTTTTGTAAAATAACCGTCCTATCTCATTCTATAAGGGGGAAAAGGCTTCTCAAAGTATACTTCCTTGGAACGCCTGTAACTTTTCCTGTAGCGACGATAGACCCTTACTTGTCCGGACAAAGTTATACTATTTTGAGTGCTCTACAAAAAAGTCACCGGCTGGCTCGTCCTCAGAAATTTTTTATGGGCTAGAGGGCGCAACGCGCCTGGAAGCCCCACTCATCACACACCTTATAATGTTGAGAACTTTATACCAAGTTCGTCAAAATCTTCCTCGTTACATCCAACGGTCATTCGACACGAGAATTACCGAATTCACACCAGAAGACTAACAATTTTCCGAATAAAAACTTCATTTATACTAAACATCTTCGGGGCTAGAGGGCGCAACGCGCCTGGAAGCCCCACTTGCCTTGCCTTCGAATACGTTTCACAGCGAGAAAAAAATAAAACTGTACACTGATTTTCATTTTCATTTCCAGTCACTTTACTTATTATTTTTTCTTTTTTTCATTTTAATTATAAATTATTTCATAATACGTTTATTTACGTTACCATTTTCTTTATTCTTTTGAATTCCATACTAGACACTTATAGAATATTTTGATTGTTAACGTACTTCATTAGAATGAATCCTTACAAAGGGTATGTCGATCGAATTTACCTAATTGGTATTTCCAATCAGATTGAAGAAGGTAAAATGACATGGGAAGAAGCTTGCACCCATGTTCCCATCGCCCCAACCCTTCAATCAAATGATTTCAAATATTTAGATGTTTCAAAATCTTTTTTACAAAATCAATTTAGCTTACAGAATATCCCATTGCCTAAAGGCAAGAAAGGTCGTAGGGTCAATCCCTACGACCAAATCAAAGCTCTTGCTGTGATACATGACCACTGGGCCTTTCCTTGTGGTCAAACAAAACAATGGAAACGTTTGAAATTACAACAAATTGATGTATCTTATAGAGAAGTACGCAGATACTTCAAAGAAAATCATTTCACCAAGACGCGATTAGAGCATGCCGGGCCAGAAACAGCAGTAAGATATTGGGCGCTTTCACCCAATCTTATCTGGCACGCAGATGTTCATTATTTTAGGGGTGTTCGTGGCCAGTATATTTATGGCATAATCGACGATTTTAGCCGCAAAGTCCTAGCGTGTATACAAATACCAGATATGCTGGCAGCGACGACAGCGAACGTTGCGGCTTCCGCCTTCATTGAATTTGGCGCCCCTTATTGTTTCTGGACGACAACGGTTCAGAAAATAGGGGCGCCTTTCAAGATCTACTTGATCTTTGGGGCGTCCAATGGCGGCATACAGACTCTCATTCTCCCTACCAAAATGGGAAGATTGAGAGATTCTGGCCGACATTGGAGCGCTGCCAAAGCATTCAGGCTATTCCTGCCTTTATTTGGGAGTACAATAATAACACACCGCATGAAGATCTCCCAATTAATCCATTAACTGGAACAAATTACACGCCAAATCAAATGTATCAGCTGAAACCGAAATACACAAATGCAGATACAGAAAGGTTGTGGCAAATATGGGATACAGATACAGGCATGACCGCTGTTGACACATTCACAGCGTAATAATAAACATAATTTTTTAATTTCATTTTTAACAAGTTTTTTTAAATGTATGTAATGAATAATTCATTAGAATATGATAATGCACATTGTAACAGAATAGAACAATCACCAAATTTTGTTTGAAATTAAAAAATAAAAGTAAAAAGTATAAAGTAATCTAACCAAAAAGATATTTAAAAGAATTTTGGAAAAAACAGAATAAGGATAATGATATTATTTTAGATACACAATCGATGTACTGAAGAATAATCCGGTAAAATGATGATATCAAATTAGATTATTTTACAAGTAGCTAAAAGAATAAAACTATAATATAAAATAAATGAAGTTTAATGAAACAATAAAGGTTAAATAAATAATAAAGATTTTTATTTTATATCAGTATTGAGAAGAAGTAACAGCTGACACTTGGTAGACAACTTCTTTATGTATAGAAAATTCTATCTTGCCTTTTATTTTTTTCTCGCTGTGAAACGTATTCGGTCTTTTTTTTAAAAATTAATTTTTTGTTAGAGATAAGAGCTAAAACTCGGTAAACAACTTCTTTATGTCTAGAAAATTCTATCTTGCCTTTTATTTTTTTCGCTGTGAAACGTATTCGGTCTTTTTTTTAAAAATTATTTTTTTAGTTAGAGATAAGAGCTAAAACTCGGTAAACAACTTCTTTATGTATAGAAAATTCTATCTTCCTTTTATTTTTTTTCTTGCTGTGAACGTATTCGGTCATTTTTTTAATTTTAAAAATTAATTTTTTGTTAGAGATAAGAGCTAAAACTCGGTAAACAACTTCTTTATGTATAGAAAATTCTATCTTGCCTTTTATTTTTTTCTCGCTGTGAAACGTATTCGGTCTTTTTTTTAAAATTAATTTTTTGTTAGAGATAAGAGCTAAAACTCGGTAAAACACTTCTTTATGTCTAGAAAATTCTATCTTGCCTTTTATTTTTTTTCGCTGTGAAACGTATTCGGTCATTTTTTTAAAAATTAATTTTTTGTTAGAGATAAGAGCTAAAACCTTGCAGACAACTCCCCCATGTCTAGCAAATTTAACATTTGTCTCCCATTTTTATATATTTGGTTTAGAATGTTCGAAAATGCGTAATATGGTCATTTATATTAATTGAAAAGAACCTTGAATTAATTCAATCTGATCTCACAAAATATTTTAAATTACAAACTTTGTAGTTTGAATAGATAATTAGTATTAAACTCAAATAACTAGTTTATTTTGAATAAAAATTATTTGAATTTATTCAATTATGTGAATTTTCCTTCAAAAATCAAGTTTAAATATCTTATTTGCCATATAATTATAAATACAATGAAACATATTCGAAATTGAAAAGAATGACTTTTTCTGTTCTTTCAATCATTCAATTTGAATTTTGCAATATTGGATTTCTCATTAAATATCTATTAAAAACAACAAGCAATTTAACTTACATTCAAATTTATTTGTGTTATATTCAATGTTCTCAAAACTTATAATTTTCGGCTATAGCATGATTATATGCTATATAATATAATAAACCTATAATAGTATCATTCTTTCAATTATTTGAAGAGAAAACCGAAAAAATCTATTTTCGGTCTATAACAAAATGAGATAAAAATCATTTATAACGAATATTTTTTTTATTTATAAAAAACCCTGTCTGATAGTCTTATCAGTAATAAATAAAATTTGATAATAGCTAATTTTAAACAAAAATCTGACAATATTCAAAGTTTGATAACAACAAATAAATTATTTATGTTTTTTTTAAATTTACCATTGATTTGGCTATATAAACAGTGAAATTTCTGATTCGAGATGACAGAATCATAAAATTTTACAGGTGCGTAGTAGTAAAAAACTTATAGAATTAGACATTTTTATGTTATCTGATATTTTTAATCTTTTATATGAAAGCTTTTCAAAAATCATGTTGTCGGATCCTTTGAAAAGTTATTTTATTTAATATACAGTCTTTATACAGGTTTTATTTTGAATTCATATCAACCGATTGAATAGTTTACAATTTTTAATTGTTTTCCCTCTCATATGATTTAATATTAAAATATTCAACATATATGCTTAACAAATGTGAATTTGTTCAGAAATCCGAATTTTAACTCAATTTTAAAATTAAATTCTGCATTTTTGCTTAATTGAGCCTTTCGAAATGATGTATTATTTTATTTTAATACATGTAATACGATTTATCCATTCATATTGATTTAAAATAAAAGACTTCGTCTATTTTTTATGCAAGATTTCACTATTTTAAACTTGAGAAAGAGCTCATGTGAATCTTAACTCGGGATCAGCGAGTTTAAAGAATGCACAAAAGTAACATCTTGAATTGCTTGAATTCATTTCCATTTAATTTCATAGTTTTTATGATAATCTATCAAAATATTGATAGCTTGCTGACTGAGTTTATTATTTTACAATACAACTTATATTTGAAACAGGCTTTTGATTTTTTAATTTTATTATGTTATTATTAATGAACATATCACACTATTAATTTGTTTGATGATAGTGATTAAGATTGTATTTCAGTTTTGGAGTTGGTATTTTAATAGTGTTTTATGTACATTAATACCAATGAATTTTAAACAATGAAGTTTGGTTCAGATGGTTCTTCAACATCTTGCGTTGATTTCTTGATAAATATTGTAACGGTAACTGCAATAATGACGATAACAATAATAACACAAGGTACCCCGATGATAACAGGGAGAAGTTTTTTAATTTTATTACTTGGACCCCCTCCATTCTGATAAGGCCCATTTTCTGAACCTGAACCAGATACATTTGAAGCACTAGAAGAAGGTGGTGTTGTATTTGATGGTTTTGGATTTTCCTTAGATTGTGTAAAAGATTGTATTTCAGGTTTTGGAGTTGGTGAAGGAGTTTTAGGTGTTGGAGATGGAGTTTTAGGCATTGGTGAGGGAGTTTTGGGTGATGATGAAGATGATGGCTCTCTCCACGTTGTGCAATCAACTGGGTAAATAGTGTATTCCCAGGTATTTGAACCTGATGTGACTTTCACATCGACTTTCTTGTTAACTAAGTTATCAACACCATCGAAGGTGAAAGATAAAGACGGTGGTTGCATATAACTATATCTTCCATAAAATGTTCTTAGTGTTTTACTCACACCATCAACTTTAACTTCAATCGATGGATTCGATTGCAAGTTATCGTGTGAGAAGCTGAAAATCTTGTAAACATGACCGCTGTGCACATAACCTGGAGGCGGCCATGCATAGAATGGAAGTGTTTCTGGTGGAGTGTGAACAGAAATGCCTGTATCGAAAGTACTCATTGTAAAGTATGTATAATAATAAGTATAATATCCTTGAGGTCTGATATTTGATGCAGCACCAAACATAGTTTGAACCATGTGAGGACTTAACATCCATCTTCGATGTCCAAGATCATTTAAAGGATATCCGTCAATATAATCATCAAGTAATTGCATTACAAAACCAGGAGCTCTAACGGGCTGAAAATGCATCTGATAAGCTAAGTTTGATTTTCCACATCCATTAGCTGCAAATGATGAATAACATTTTTCGCTGGAAACAGGATAATGTCCAATTTTGCTATTTGCAGCACAGTAAATAGAACAATATTGCGCATTGTTAATGACAGATGGATCTGTACTAAGGGTCAAATTGCGTTCGTAGCCAACCATCCATCTGACGTAATTGAACTGCATGAGACCCTCGTTGTTATCAAAAGTTTTATCATAGAGTTTAGGGCTACATGAACCTCCTTGATCTGGGTAGAGATTACCTGAGTTAGGTTTATTTAGAATGCTCATTTCTTTGAACTTTTTGCAAACATCTCCCTTTGGCCTATTTTGTACCCTATCGAATGTGATGCAGATCACATTGATTAGCATCATTTCTTATGAAAAATTGAGACAGTTCACAATTGTCTGTAAAAAAATAATCATTACAAATATTCTGATAAAATAATTATTTGATTATTATCATGTGTTGTAAACAGAAATTCATCAAAAGTGACACCTCAGAAAAGCTAAAATATTGAATTTTTGGAACTTTTGATAGAGCATGTTTTTAAATATTAATTAAAGTAAATGTATATTTTGTAAAGATTCTTTTTAATAAAAAATAAAATTTTGAAGAAGAACACAAAATCTTCTGAAAAATAATATCACATAAACTCATATTATTTTCTAATATATAACTATTTTATATAAAAATCAAATTCAATGGTCTTAAAAGCGAAGGATAAACCTCAAAATTTACGAATATAATGAGTGGGAATATAATGCTTATCTATCATAAAACCATATGAAATATCAATTTTTGCTTTACGCCTAATTTTGACGACAATTAGCAAAAAATGTTAAATGTTAACACTCAGTCCATTTGAATATGAAAAATAAAATTGACTTTGATTAAATGTTTTTATTTATCATGCAATTCTTCTTGCGACCAAAGATTTGAATAAAAGTTCAAAAAATAAGATAGCTTAAAAAATAATATACGGTAGTGTTTACTAATAGATGAATAGTATATAAATTCTATTAAAATGGATTTGATCCAAAAAAAATATAAAACCAAAAATAATTGTTATAATTTAAATGAAGAAGTAATTTAAAACGATTTTATTTATGATCAAATTTTATATATTTTTTTGGATCAAATCCATTTTAATAGAATTTATATACTATTCATCTATTAGTAAACACTACCGTATATTATTTTTTAAGCTATCTTATTTTTTGAACTTTTATTCAAATCTTTGGTCGCAAGAAGAATTGCATGATAAATAAAAACATTTAATCAAAGTCAATTTTATTTTTCATATTCAAATGGACTGAGTGTTAACATTTAACATTTTTTGCTAATTGTCGTCAAAAATTAGGCGTAAAGCAAAAATTGATATTTCATATGGTTTTATGATAGATAAGCATTATATTCCCACTCATTATATTCGTAAATTTTGAGGTTTATCCTTCGCTTTTAAGATCATTGAATTTGATTTTTATATAAAATAGTTATATATTAGAAAATAATATGAGTTTATGTGATATTATTTTTCAGAAGATTTCATTCTATATGCCTATGAAAAGTACTCTCAAAACTAACTTTTTCCTAATTATAATTAAATCTAGAATATTGTATTATGCTTAGTATTATTTCATTTTTCTCATTCAATTTAGAATTTACAAATGTCAAAAAATTGAGAGCTGTCACTTTTGATGAATTTCTGTTTATTACATCATGGCCTATGTTAAATCTGTATCAATTTAAATTAAATATAACATCGTGTATTTCAAAATTTTCATTGAAAAAAATAACAAATTTTGACCAATTGTTCACAATTTCAATTATTTCAGTTTCGATTCATCAGCTTCAGATTCTAACAAACAGACATCTATTCATCATACATTTTACTAAAGTATTTCCTTGAACCGCCTGATTCATGTACAAAAATAGTTTTTTAGACGTAATCTAGTATCATGTACAAGTATTGATATTATCTACAGGTAATTTTCAGTCAAATAACTAATTGAATCTGTACGCAGAGAATCTCAAAATTAAATTAATGATCTGGACAAATCCAAATATATCTAAGGCAATATTTTGGTTATTCATTAATATTTCTTTCATTAAGAATCTACGAATGATCTAATTTAATCAATAATTTATTTTATCATATGCAATTAGATAGATTTTTTCTCATTTATTGTCAAACATCTAAGAGAAAAGGTATATAACCCACGAGTAACCAAGGTTAAATCGATGAAAACAACATCTAAAATATATTCCGTGCATAGTATTTGGATTGAATACTTTTAATAACTTTACACGCCAATATTATTAGAAAAATTTAAATGTTACAATACAGGGAATGTTTTAAAACTTTCCGCCTGACGGATAGCCTAGTCCAAAACATTCGCGTTGTTGGCGTCACGCTAGACAAAAAATTCCTGATTTTAAGTAATTCTGCAACAGAATCTTCGATTGAAAAAGTATCACCTGAAGGAGACTCGGTAACTGTTATATCATTCAATAAAAAGATTGATATTATTAACGCTTCTTTATCTCACGATAACGAAATATGCCATATTACTGAAAAAATTGATAATGGAAAAACAATTAAGTTTGTTTCTTCTTTTTATTCAATATTTCAAAGTGCTAAGAGCAATGAAATTACAGCTGATGTTCCAATCGAAGGATTTTTCCTTCCAATTACTAATTCAAAGAATATTTATCAGATGATTCACATTATAGGAAAAAGATTAACGCATCTGAAAATTACTCTTAAGAAGAAGCATATTGATGTCGAAAAAATTCGCGGTGGATTACATTTACAAAATTTAATTTCTTTTGACTATAATCATGAAAAAGAGAACCTTACCGTTATATATTCTAACGATGATTCACAATATCTCTCCATTTTTGGTTTTAAGTCACAAACTATTGAAGAATTACTAAAATACAAAATTTTTATTATGGAAACATCAGTATTACCTTACGATGTTGCCCTCTGTCCTGCCTCACGACAAAGCCTTCCCTATTACCACCTAACTCCAAATAGAATTTACGTTTATACGAATAATAAAAAATCCGTCATCATTCAACAGCTTAATTCCAATACTTATCAACATTTATCATTCTGCGTCTCATCCTACCCCGATGCTTTCAATCAAGTTATACAAGTTCCTTCAGTTTCAGCAGATATGCCAATTTGTTTTGCCAATTTCAATTCTATTATCATTGTTTACATACCAAATACATATTTCTGCATCATTGATGCCGATTTGAGGCCTGCCCATATTACAGTTCTTCCAAAAAATTTGGCAACTTCAATTTGCTATTACGTATCAGTTTCTCTTCCAATTGAGAACACCCTTATTGATATTAATAGCAGACAGATATATTCCGTGGCCATAGACTTCTCCTGTCTCTTTCCTTATTATAAAATAATTGATGACTGCATAATTTATGCTTTCGCGCTGTTCATTAACAGTAACCTTGACTCCAAATACCTTTCCGATATCCTGGAGCTCCTCAGATTGACAGGAGAAATTCATCATACGCAAATCTTTTTCCAGACGCTCTTCCAGAAGCTCGCGATGCCAACGCAAGGCATAAAATCCCAGAAATCACGTAGCCACACAACGTTGGCCCAGTATTATAAGAATATGCAGCAGAAAGGTGAAAGATTACCTCCTTCCTTGGCAAAAATCGGGTTCCCTGCATATATAAGAGAGACCCTTGAATCCATTGAGGCCGATTTCCCATCCAGTGGCCCTATTTCCAGGAGATCCGCGTTCAGACTCGCTGTGAAAGCTCTCCACGAAAAAAAAGTTTGGAGAGAAAGCGAAAAAAACGCGAAAAAAGCAATTAAGTTCTTGGAGAAGCAGAATAGAGCAACGGTGATGATAAGAGAGGCCTTGGATATATTCGAGAAACGCTATAAACCACCAAATGAATGGTTAATTAACGTTGAGATTATTATTGCAACTGAAGCCTCGTTTATTTCATTTCCTACTATACCATGCTTATCATCTGATATTGCAACACTTGGTTTGGAGATGTTTTCTAAGCCATTGAGGCAGAAATTCGAATCAGCTAAAATTATGACTCCTTTCGAGCAATCAAAGGAAGAAGTTTACTTCTGGAAAGATAGAATGAATATTGCTGGATCAAGTGGTCTCACTACTTCTACATCTAGTTCAACTGCCTCAGGACACGCAGATGATTAATATATTTTATGTTATTTTTTTGTTGTTTCTTTTAAATTTGTTGTTTTTATTTAGATTTTTAAGTGAATTGCTTTTGAAAACTAATGATTTATAAGTTTAATAAAATATTTTGATGAGATATCTTAAAATCTATGGAAATACTTATGAAAAAATTAAAAGATTTGAATAAAAGAAAATATAGTAAAGAGTTTAAGTCTAATAGGTTGACAATTAAATTATATTCTTCGAATTCTTATCAGGATGTTACATGATTTTGGAGTACCAATTCAATATTTTCCCAATTACAATTACATTATACCATAATTTTGCTTACAATTGAGTAGATATTATGCTCTATTTAGCAAAAATACATTATATTGAGAAAAATAGTGAATTATTTACTGTTGAACTCTTTGTTCATAGAAGAAATGTTGAGTAAGTAAGAGAAGGATTAAGAAGATAACGATTAAGATGATGAATATTGGATTGATGCATTTGCAAATGATGGAATCGTATGAACGGATTTTCCTCTTGATTTTGACAATTTTCTGCTTTGTTTTATTATTCTTATTTGAGTTGTTATCATTTTTATCTTTTGCACTTGATGATTTTCTTGCCTTCTTTGTTCTTGTTACTTTTGTCTTTGTTGTAACAACTGCAATTTCATCATCATCTGCATTTCCTTCTTCATTCATTTCTCCGTCCACTTCTATACTTCTTTCAATGACAATTGGTTCTTCTTCATTTTCATCCAAATTAATACTTCTTTCGACAACAACTGGTTCTTCATTTTCATCTAAGTTTAAGCTTCTTTCAACAACTTTTTCTGCTTCTTTCTTTGCCTCTTCTTCAGCCTTCTTCTTTGCATCCATTTCAGCTTTGAGTCTTTGAGCATCTTCTTCAGCTTTTCTCTTTAATTCTTCAGCCTTCTTCTTTGCTTCTTCTTCAGCTTTTTGTCTGAGTTGTTCTTCTTTTTGTTTTTCTTCTTCATCAGCCATTTTTTGAAGTTGTTCTTGTAATTTCTTTGATTCTTCTTCAGCTTTCTTTCTTGCTTCTTCTCTTTGTCTTCTCTTTTCGGCCTTTTCTTTTCTTCTTCTTTCATCTTCTTCTGCTCTCTTTCTTTCTGCTTCTTCTCTTTGTTGTCTCTTCTTTGCTTCTTCTTCAGCTAATTTTCTTTCTTTTTCTTCGTTTGCAAGTCTCTTTGCTTCTTCTTCCCTTCTCTTCTTTTCTGCCTCTTCTTCTGCTTTTCTCTTTCTTTCTTCTTCTCTTCTTTTTGCTTCTTCTTCAGCTTGTTTTCTTGCTGCTTCTGCCTTTCTCTTTCTCTCTTCTTCTCTTTGTCTTTCTTCTTCCTCTTCAATTCTCTTTCTTTCTTCTGCACGTTTTTGAGCTTCTTCAGCAGCTTTTCTCTTTAATTCTTCTAATCTCTGTTTTTCTTCTTCAGCACGTTTCAATGATTCTTCTTCCATTCTCTTTCTGATTTCTTCTAATTTCTTTTTCTCTTCTTCAGCATGTTTCTGAGCTGCTTCTTCTGTTCTCTTTCTTATTTCTTCCAATCTCTTCTTTTCTTCTTCAGCGAGTTTTCTTGCTTCTTCTATCTTCTTCATTCTCTCTTCCTCTTGTTTTCTTTCCTCTTCTTCCTTCGCCTTCCTCTTTTCTTCTGCTTCTTTCTTCCTCTTTTCTTGTTCAATTCTTTCTTTTTCTAATTCTTCAGCTGCTCTTCTCTCTAATTCTTCTAATTCTCTTTCTTCTTGTTTCTTCTTTTCTTCTTCGATTCTCTTCTTTTCAGCAATCTTTCTTTCTTCTTCTTGTCTTTGTTTTTCTTCCTCTTCTAATCTCTTCTTTTCTTCTTCTATTCTTTTGGCTTCTTCTTGTCTTTGTTTTTCTTCCTCTTCTAATCTCTTCTTTTCCTCTTCTTCAGCAAGTTTTCTTTGTCTTTCTTCTTCTTCAGCTTTTCTCTTCTTTTCCTCTTCAATTCTTCTTTCTTCTTCTTGTCTCTTCTTTTCTGCTTCTTCAGCAAGCTTTCTTTCTTCTTCCTCTTTTCTCTTCTTTTCATTTTCTTCTTCAATTCTTTTAGCTTCTTCTTGTCTCTGTTTTTCTGCTTCGTCTGCAGCAATTTTGAGTTTTTCGAATTCAGAGTTAAGATTACTGTTGTTGTTATCAGATAAAACACGACGTGCTTCTTCTTCATTCTTCTCAGTGCCATTTCCATACAAATAGCACATTGCAAGCATCTTCTTTGCATCATTATCTTGTGTTTCTTCAACTGCATCTTTGAGGTATTTGAATCCAAGACTTGGATCTGACTTGAATCCTTTGATTGGATTGAGATGCATGCAGGCAAGAGGATAAAGAGAGTCAGAGTATCCAGAATTGGCTAAGTAAAGTAAAATATCTTCTGCTAAGTAAGGATCGTACTCTTTTGCGTTTGGTTGTGAAATGTATGCGGCAACTCTTGCAAGAGATTCGGGATCTTTATGTTCGACAGCGCCTTTCCAGTACCAATAACTTGCTTGCTCGGGATCATCTTTTTGTGTGTAGTATTCGCCGAGATCTTTGCATGCTGGGGCAAATCCTGTATTTGCTGACTTCTTTGCCCAGTATTCGTAACATTCTGGCTTGTATTCTCTTGAAATTAATGAAAAATTGTAAGCAGCTTGAGAATCAACATTTCCACCCTTGAATAGGAACTTTTCATCTTCGTTTATAACAAATGTGATCTCTATGATTTCATTTCCGCTAACTGAGACTTCCGAAATTGTAGAAGACCAATTACCAGAAATAGTTGGAGAATTTATGAATACATCATTGATATCAAAGCTGTCTGCATCGAAACGTCCGTTGTTTGGTATAGATATTGTGACAAATTCACCGTCTTGGATCCACGAGTAATTGTCAGTGTTAAACTCAACATTAAGGTTATTTTTCTTAGGTAAGTCGTTCGTTATGAACTCACTCCAGTCATTTGGTTCATTTTGATCAGAACTGTTGGAGAATTTGGAGTTTCCTTCGTAATAGAAGCTCCTATATTTAAGTTCTTGAATAATATCTGCAATAATCCTATGCATTGATGTATCTGGTGCCATTATATTGACTGAGAAAACAATAAAATGATTCGCATAAAATTTATTTCAAAAAATTTTATTTATGGGAGGAATTATAAGAACATGAAGATTATAACATTTTTGTAATTATGCGCAAAATAACTTTTCATAGAATTGTGTATTTACACGGTCTTTAATTGTGAAGGTGCGATAAATTTGAATTGAATTTTCTAAAATATCTTTCAAAGTTTTATGTTAATACAATTTTGGACAAAATCATTAATTTATACTGCTTATAAATACGCAATTTGAAAAATCAATAAATTTTAGAAATACTCGTTCAACAGTCTCTACGCGTAATTCAAACTGTAACATTATTCAACCCTGTGCAACTCAAACAAAGTGCAAGCATCAAAATTAGCCAGATGAAATGACTTTTTAATTTTTAAGAGTAGGGGTAATTTTAGCTAAAAGTGACACACCTGTAAAAAGTGACACACTTGTGAAGGGTGTGATTACCGATCGGTAATTTCGACAGTTTAGAATTTAAAATTTTTTATGGAACTGTTGCGAGTTTCATAAAGAATTTAAGGAATATAAGCAAAGATTTGAATCAAAATCTTAGACCTAAGCCGCTCGATTCGCTCGCGGCTTCCGCGAATTACAGATCAGCAAAGATTTGAATCAAAATCTTCGAACTAATTTTAACTCCCTTTGAAAACCTCAATTTTCCATACAGAGGGAACGGGAATAGCATCCAATATTCCCTGAGAATGGTTGCGCATTCTCAGTTCCCTCTATATTTCGAACGAAGCTCTCATCGGTCTTTTTTTTAATACTAAACGTTTTTTTCCCCTGTTACTTTTAGCTAAAATTTGGGTTTGCCTTTGGATATATGATAAACAGTTCCATTCTATTGCATTCCTTATAGATTCAGGCAAATATATGATTATTTTTTCAAAAATTTAATATTTTCATTTGATTCAAAATAAATTAAACAAAAATGAACAGTAATATTTCTACGATAATCTGCCAATCTTAGATCCCAATATCTTCGATAAGTTATTCTAGGATCTTTAAATTTCCCTACCAACTTCTCTATTTTCATTTTGCATAGCACCATTTTAAGCTGCAATATAGCCTAAATCAGGGTAAAGCTTGATACATTTGAGAAATTATCATTTAGGACAGAACATATTTTAGCAAAATAGAGTGGGTTAATTATCACGCCATAGAGGAGATGCTATCCTCTAAGTAACATCCATAAAAACGCTATAAATTTGAGTTTGAAATATTGATACAGTCATCTATTTAGTTTTGTATAACTCGTGCCTGCGTTGCATTTCACTACTCGTAGATATCTCATTGAATAAATCAATTTAATATAAAAGTCAACCGATCACATAAAAGAGTGCAGATTTTCATACCACCTCAGAAAAGTGAAAAGCTTTCCATTTTATAAAAATCTCATTAATTACAAGTATGAGAATATTTTAAATATTTAGTCCATTTAAAATCTTTCAGAAAAAATTGTGGGTTGAACAATCAGATATTCAAAATTTTTTTATGAAAATTTGAATGTTTATGAAAATTTAACCAAAATATGTGTATTATATCTAAATACTCGAAATATAAACAAAACATGATTTTTTGTTTTATGACGTGAAATAAAATCAAATTTTACATTTGAATGAATTGCATAACTGATGAGGACTTGATACAGAAAATTGCATCAATTAGTAGCGCGTTCCGCGAAGATATACGTCTGGCCTATGAGAAACCAACTGATTTCGGCAATGTTGTCCCTCCCTTAAAATCTTCCAATGAAATTTTGACACAAAATCACCCAAATAATGTACAAAAATTTAACACAGGTTCAAGAAGTAGTATGACTCAAATAATGCCAAACAATCAACCATTTTATATTGTTGTTCACCCGGAAAGGAAGAGAAAAGGAGTCAGTTATATGTTCTTATTTTCTCCATGGTATTCATTGCTTATCAACGATAAAACTCATGAAATTGAAGTTCTTCCAGAAGATGCTCAATATTTCATTGATAAAAAGAACTTTATTATCTTTATGAACTCAGAGGAAAGGAAGTTTACTCACAAGATAAAGTTTGAAGTTCTTCAAATGATTATTGACCACCAATTTTCCAATTCTTTGGAGCCATTTTTCCTTTCTTATTTAGCCAATAATCAATTACCTCCATCAACAAATCTTATTTCCACATACCTTTACAAAATCGTCTTCAATGAGAGTTTTCTTGTAGCCTACCACAAAATTCCTTCAAAATACTTAACAAACAATATTATGGAAAACTGGTATACAGCATCACAGATGTCATTTGATTCAGTTTTTACAACACTTGTTCGTTATTATCTCAAAGACCAATCATTTAATCATATTGACTTAAATGACGATACATTTATTACAAGAATAACAAAAATCATCATTAAAAATGACCGTAAGTTTAATGAATTTACAAATTCTCTTCAACAAACGTTCGACGATCCAATTAATAAATTTTTACCGGCTTTTTCACAAATTACCACAAAAACAACTTTACACATGACATTGTTTATACTTTACTTCGAAGCCACAAAGAAATTCAATGCACAAACAGGCTATTTAGCAATCGGAAAACTTCTTTACTTTGCTGGCATCCATCCTTATTTAGTTGCCAACAACTGTGAATCGGATTCCGTCTACAAAGAAATTTTGACATTTTCACCAAATTTAGACGTAAATATTCACCTGAATTTAAAGGAGATCATGAAGCGTTTCACACAAACATCTAAGAAACTTAAACAACCAGCATCAAATGCAGACTCATTTAATGCTTATTCAGAACTTTTGCAAAATATTTCAAATAATGACATAGATTTCCTTAGCATTGTACGACGAGTTGAGAAGGAAATACCTGTGTGAAATACTTAATTATATTAGATAATAAAGATTATATTTTTTTCTGTCCAATTTTATTACATTTTTTTATGTAACATTCTACTTCTTATTTTTGATCTTCATTAGGTTGATCTTTAATCCTCTAAGTCAGATTTTCCTTCATGACTTATATGGAATCATCGTTTTTAATTTCTTAATATTAGAAGTTAAATGATAAGTTAGACATTCATACATAACGAACTATAGAAAGATCCTATATGAATTGATCCAAAAAGAGTAATTTTTTTCTAATAAATATATTTTATTTTATAAACTAAAGAAAGTTTTTCAAATATATTTAAGGATAGATAATCTATTAACATAATATTTGTATTACACATACCTTGGAACAGTACTAGCAGATTGCTCTATTGTTAATTTTCTTTTTTCTGCTTGAGACATAATTTTCATGCTCTTCTTGAAGTTCTTAAAGCAAATGACTGCCATCATGCCACCAATGAACATTCCGGCAACAACATCTGATATATCTGCTTGTCTATCGCAAATCCTTGTAACAGCAACGAATATAGCGAATAGTATGGGGAAAACCATGAAGATTGCTCCTAACAAAGAGAAAGATTTTGTCATATAATGGAAGAGCAACGAAATAAAAACGGCTGATGCCATAATTTCTGCTGTATGATAAGATGGGAATGAGTTAAATTGCTGAACTATCTGTGATTTTGAAAGATATTGTGAACATGCAAGGATCGAACCATCTCCTTGGCATAAACTGAGTGTATCTGGCTTTGGTCTTCGTATTGACTTTCCAACGATGGAAGTAACAAGCATAGTTAATGTAATTGCGAAAAAGTATGAGTATAACAAATCGAATATCTTATAATCGAATCTGACACTCATATAGAAGAATAAAATAACAAAGGGACCTATCACGAAGTTAGTTATACATATAATTGTGTATGATATGGATTCATATGCAACACTTACCGGATCGCTTGGAAGAATTATGAGTGGAGCGTTTGTATCAAGTGATGAGTAGCGGATTGAGAGTGCTACGGATAAAGTGATAATAATAAGAATAAGATCAACAATAAAGAACTTCTGAATCCATAAAACGAATCCCATTTATTATGATGATCCCCAATATAATTTTCTATCGTTCCATAGACTTTAAGGCATATTGCGTGCCACTATTCTTAAGCATATTAAAACATAAACATTTTTTTCAGAGAAACAATTCATCGTTTTTAGTTGGCCATTGAAAAAAATCAGATTACAACCACATATGAAAGCTTTATTTACCATTTCTCGAAACAAATTTATTCAATATTAAAATATGAATGATCTGAAAGCAATCGTTTCGATTCGATTGGGATTTCGTTGAAGCATCATTGATTCAAAAGATGTACTAATTGAGAAACATACTCTAGAAAACACGCATTCTCATCAAGATTAGCATATGTTATTATGAAAAGATTCATTTAATAATTAAAACTCTCTAATAAATCGAATTGATTATCACTGACAATATAGTAAGGAATGCTCACACATGAGTTTGTATTACACATGATTTACAAACATCTGTATTTGTTGATTTATTGATCAAATTAATGATGTGATTATGGATTGATTAGGAAAGGTAAGCAATAATATTCATTCGAAAATGAAAACACTGAATCATTTGAGTTTATCCTTTGAAGATAACTACTTCATAAGACTCATTGATCTATTTAAACTAAGAAAGATTGTTTATTAGAGCAAATGAATCTATATGAATAGCTACACATTTATTGATGTTATTGGATGGAACGGAGAATCATTATACTGTTTGATAAAGGAAGAAAATAGAATTTATAATGTTAGTGAATATTATATACAAATGGTTTATTTTTAAAGCAATCATGTGCTACTTTTAAACCGCATTTAGTCCAAATTGTTCATGTAGAACAGAACGCTTGATTTTTGGAATGCTCAAACGAAAAATTTTGCTTTGGAGATTGCTCACTTGATTTCTCAAATCAACGCTTATGCTTTGAAGATTGCTTATTTGGTTTCTCAAATCAGCATTTTCATTTCTCATTCTATCATTTTCTTTTTGAAGATTACTGTTTTTAGTTCTGAAATTAGTATATTCATTGACTTGTCTTTCAATGGTATCAGAATAAAAATTGAGTATTTCATTGCTGGAATCGTTCAAATTACGCAAAGAATTAGAGAGGAGATGCGTAATTCTGACCATTTTTTCCATATCCAAGTTGTTATTACTAACAAATTTAATTAAATCCACGTAAATTAAATTTGATTCAATGAGACTAATAACTTGGTTATTGATATTGATGCCTTTCTGCTGACAAATCTTGAAAACAGATTCAGCAAAATCATATCCCAATTCTGTAAACATTTCTATGCACTTTGAGACTTGAATTTCAAATACCCAGATTTGCTTTACTTTTACCACCTCTCTAAAGCTGGGGACACCGCCTATCGTTGGGAGTAGCTATTAAATAGAACCACCAAGGGTATTTTTCGAACTGCCGGTGTAGTGGAAACATCCGACATAATGGTTCATTATGCCAAGGTTTGATTCCCATTTAGCCAATTTTTTTCTTTTTTGGATCATGAATTTTTTTTTGGGTCACTATAAGATTTGTTTCATGTTCTAAATCTGCTGCATATGTAATCTATTTTTATTTACCTATTTTTTAAAAATCTATTGGATTGCCAAATTTCAATATATTTAAAATCATAAAACTCCAAAAAAACTATAAATATATGTTTTATGCATAGTGCCGATACTCAAATATCAGATTACTTAGATCCATGAATAATATCCGAATTTTTTTTCTTAAAATTAAACTTCAAAACTTCTTGCAATCTTATTCTTCATCTATTGTAAATTTTTAAAACCATTTTTTAAAATAATTTTGCGTAAATTTTATTCTCATGTTGTTTTAATCGAAAATTGATACATTTTCAAAAAAATAATATTGACTTATGAAATTCATTTTTAAGGTGAAATAGTATTGTTTTTATTAAAGTATATGAATAATATATAAAAAATTAATGAATAATATAAGCAGATTTTTAGTTTACAAAACAAATATGAGCAATGCAATTTCAAACTTTTGCTGGCAATTTCGATATTGCTCAAGTTTGTAGTATTTGTGATACCTATAACATCGGCTTAATCAAAATTCGATTTTTCTTATGAGTTATTGAGAAAATTTGATTGCAATGAGAAGGATTTCGACGTTTTTGATAAACTAAGAGCTGAGCTTTAGGGGTTCAGTTCATTTATGGCTGTAGTTTGATGCGTAGATCTCTTTTTTATTGTAAATTCTTTCAGCATGGAGATCGAGAATGAATCTTTTGAGAACTTTATGAGTTTTTACACCCGTAAAGAGGTCCTTCGAGGAAAGATAGTCCAGACTACATGAAGATGTGGGTTAACCAAAAAAATCCGATGGTTTCCCCATATTCATGTAGATCTTCGAAAAAATGAGCACCAAAAAAGCCAAAAAAATAGGCTTTTTATTGGATTTGTACACTAGATCAATAATCTATTTAGGATCTGACACTCTTTTTAGCCAGAGATATGAGGTCCTTTCTAGGAAAACGATCTATTCATCCATAAAAAAAATGAATTATCTTTTTCCCCAGAAATTACATGGGAGTGGTAAAAGTAAGGAAAATCTGGGTATATTACTTGCAACAAATTCAACAAACTGAGGAGAATATCCTAAATATTTGGAATATAAAATGTGATCATCAAGGTTTGACATATCAATTGTTTGTAGGTTACATCTCTCAACAAATAATGAAATCATGTCATCGCATTTCATTTCTTTGCCGACTACAAAAATATCTTGAACTACTTGATCTTTCATTGGAATTTGATTTGGAGAACCATTAAATATGGATTTAAGAACATCGTAAGTATTTGGGTCTTGAATAAAACAATAAAATTCGAAAAATGTTATTGTGGCATCTAGTCTGACCAGTTCTTCTATTTTGTTACTCAAAGATGCAGCAAAGATTAAGTTTGTACGGAAAGTTCGATTATTTATTCTTATTGTTACAGGAGGGTTATGCTGGAAGCCGTTGGAAGCTATGTTGCGCACTGTTTTACCGAAAGAAAACATGAAAAATGATTAGAAAATTTTTGGACTTTTTTGTTGATAGAATTTTTGTGAGGGAATCAAAAAAATTTCCATTCAAATCTAAAGAAATTTCAAATATGGAATTTGCAGTTTTACCAGCGTATTTGATAATAATCAGTATAAAATTTAGTTTTATTAGATTTATCTTATATGATTTTCCCATCATATGTCCGAAATTGAGACTTCGCCTAAATCAAAGCTTGATATGATTCTTGAAAAATTAAATCTTAAACAAAGTTTACAACTATTTAATTTTTCAAGTTGCACTCAAAGGGTTGATATTCTGGAAATATATTTTTGGAAAAGTTATAGTTTTTTTGATTGATAATACAAATTATATCAAGCAAAGAAGAGATAACATAGTCATTAGTTCGTCAAACTTTTCTTTTTGGAATAGAAAGAAATCTTTCCATATATATGGAAGAACCCAATCAATGCTTTTAGCAAATAATTGCCAAACTTAAATTATAACATCATTTAAATCACACACTTCAAGAATAACTTTGGAAAAAATCATAAAAAAAGAAAAGAGTTAATCAACAAATCAAAAAACATATTTTATACATAGATAGTTCAATAAAGATGTAATCATGATGAATGGTTAAGATAAATAAAAAAATTAATTGCAACAACCCTTTTTCTCTTCAGTTTTCTGGGCAGATGGAAGCTGCACAAAGCTTTCATTGCGAATTTTCATTCTGTGAGCTACTAATTTTTCACAAATGTCATGAAATAAGTCATTTATTCCTTCTCCAGTTTTGGCTGATGTAAAGAAACAATTATAACCTTGGTCGCTAAAAACTTCAATAGCATTCCTTTCTACAGTCAAATCTTCGATTTTATCGCATTTATTTCCAACTATATATACTAATGCTTCGCGATCAGCGACATCTTTAAATAGTTTGATCCAATTATCAATCTTGTTAAATGTATCTTTGTTTGTAACATCATAAATAATCAGACCAACTGCTGCATCACGACAGTAAATTGGACTAAGTGCACGATACTTTTCTTGTCCAGCTGTATCCCATATTTGAAGTTCAATTTTCTGATTGCCAATGTTTTCTTCGTGCATCAGAAAATTTCCTCCAATCGTAGGACTTTCGTTCTCAGAAAACCTGGCATTGACAAGTCTGCTGATAATTGATGTCTTTCCTACAGCTGTTTCTCCGATAGTTACAACTCGAAATAAAAAAGAATTAGATTCAAAGTCCATTGATACTTCAAACAAACTTCCTCAATTTTATTTTACAAAAAAGTGATAAAAATAAGATTATGCAGTAACATTGATTACCAATCATATTTCACCTAAATATAAATTTTTGCAAATTTATTTTTTTGACGTTTGAAGATTCAATTTATCATAAAATTTAATAATAAACGGGCAATATAATAATCAAACGAGAGAGGGTCAAAGTTGCTATTTGTCACTTTTCCACAAGAATATAATGGGGAAAAAGTTATCATATAGTTGATCTCATTCACTGAGGTGAGAGATGCATGTAGTGTAATGTGATAAATAGTGGGATTGCTGCTCTAAGTCCTAGGTTCGAGACACATTGGCTTCATTTTTCTCTTTTTTATTGACGTAAACTATTCAATTTTTGTGTTCTCCATTCAAATTTCAGAATTTTTTTTGCAGATTTCACGCTACATTCGAAGTTACCTTTTGTAACAACCACCACTGCCTACGAAAGACGAAAGTGTGTCACGATTTCACCCGGAAATCCGACGGTTGTTTAAGAGTAAGCACTTTTGGCACCTACTCATAATCAAACTCCTTGATCTGATTTTATCTGGAAATTCATTTATTTTTCCATAAAAACTTCAAGAATATATTAGCATTAAAGATAACATTGACACGCATATAGTTAAATTGCTAATGATACATCGTATTGATTCTTTGATAAATTCATATTACAGAAGTTCCAATAGGCAGACTTACATGAGTGAATACGAGATATTTTAATGCATGCTTCTTTTGTTGACCATGTCTTGCGAAAATATCAAAATCATTTAAAATCTAAATGACTTTCAAATGAAATAGAATAAACCATATGATAAGGAGACATATGTATTTGATGTAAGCAATATTACTGAATATTGCAAATCAAAATCAAATATCATATGGTGTTAGCTTCATTTTCATTTTTGTATTTTAAATAATAACAATGGATAACTATAACATTTAGAACTAAAGAAAGACAATCAAATTATTCGTATCTAATTGATGTATGGAGTAGATACGACCATAATCTGAAAGAATTACTGTGAAAAAACAAAAATGGATATTTTCTATACGACAACTCTATTACAAAATTCATAACTTAGAGTTGAACTCTTGGATAATACCTTGTTAAGAAGGAAATTTAAATATTATTGTCGTATTTTTGATTTGAGTTCATTAATATATAAATCTTTAATATGAAATCACTAAACAAGTTCACAATTATCGTATTTCTGTTATAAGATTGATCACAATTTAATGTTTTAACCATCAATTTTCGTCAATTTTTTCACTTCATTTAGGATCACCTTTTTTTCCGCCGCTCTCCAAACAAAACTTACTTAATATAATATTATAAGCATATTTTATCTTAAAAAATTTGCAAAATCAAACCGTTATTTGCGGAGATTTACTCAGAAAATTCCTCTGAAAAGTAATTGAGAACATTCAATAAAGCAACAGAAATTTGAACTACTTCATAAAATTTTAGTTCATTTTTCAAGAATATGCAACACTACAGCTTCTTCGATGCCCCAAAGCCAAAGATAAACGAAAACATGAAACCAATGGATCAAAGAGCCTTCTATAACATATTTGACAGACCACATCGCCCAATTCATCCAATTCTCTCCACCCGCAAACACCAGATTAAGGAATACATTCAAGATGAGGATTGTTGTCGTCCAGCATCCTCCAGCCTTTCTTCTTTATCTTTTATGCGTCCTTAAATTTTGTTTGTAAAGCGTTCTATCTATGTTAATACTTTATATTATTTTTACCATAACATGAGTTGAAAGCACTGAATTGTTTTCATTTCTTTTATATAATCCTGAATCAAAGGAGATATAATTTGCTGCAACTTAATTTTAGTGATCATTATTGTTATTAGTTAAGCATGCAGTTAAATTGGAAGTTTTTGAATGCTTCCTCATCAAAATCCCAGAAAAGATTTTTCTTCCCTATAAATTAGATGCATTTAAATCAGATTGGTATTCAAAAATGTCTCTCTTGTGTGTGATATTATTAATATCTTTACTTAACATCTTGTCCCAGTTAATTCTGATAAAGAATTCCTAACAATTGTAGTAATTAAACATTTTATATAATAATATATTACTCAAATCTATCAGGAAATATCGAATTGAGCGCTCTTTCTTTGAAATACCAATAATTTTCTTTATTTTTTTCTTAATTTGGCTTCAAAATGAACAATTGAGTTTGAAAAAGACCAAGAATCGTCTAAAAGTATAAAATTCAATTACATTGCAAGAAACAATAGAAATTTCTAAACGTCAAAAAAATCGAGAGAGAATGAAAAAGAGTGACAAAAATAAACAACTTGAAACAGAAGATGATCTTAATTTCTTGAAAGACGAAATCATTTCATCAATTGAATCTGTTACTGCAAAAGAAGTTGATACAGAAGATGAAGCAAAATCAATTATTGAATTTCTTCGAGGAAATATGGCATCTAAAGAAGATTGGTCCAAAAGAAATGAAGCATTAACAATTGCATTACAATATATTAAGGGTGGCATTTATTATTTTAAACAAGGCGATATTCAAAATCTCGTTAAGTCAATCAAAGGATTATTATCAGATATTCGTCCATTAACAATAAAGAGTACACTTACATTTTGCGTTGGCGTTTCTCAAATAATGAAAAGAGAAAGTTACCAGTTCATTTCAGAATTTATTCCTCTCATGATGAAATTATTATCTCATCAAAATATAAATGTTGCGAACTGTGCTCATATATCTCTTTTGGAGATCACAAAAACTACAGTAAATCCAAGCCTTATTAAACAAATTATTCCTTACGGAAATTCATCAGATCTTGCCAGTAAAGTTACAGTTGCCGAAATGCTACATATTGTTACCGAAACTTGGCCCGCAAAGTCGATAGAAGAAGTCAAATCACAAATTATCGATTCATTGACAAAATTCTCAAGTAATTCAGACGAAACTTTAGTAAAAATCTCAAACGAAGCATACAAGAATTTAGAAAATGTCAGTTCTCGTCCAAAAACACAGAAATCTACATTACCTTTAATTTTTGTCCCAAGAAAAGCCAAAAGGACCGATCAATTCTCACCACCAAGGAAGCAGAAGCAACCACAAAAACAATCATCCAGACAAACATCTAAAATTACAGAACCAGTCGAAGACTTTTCTGAAGATGATATTGTTATTAAACCAAAAAAGGCAGAACCAAAGCCAACTCAAAAGGAAGTGAAAGAAGATAAGCCAGAAACAGAAAATATCACAGGAAATGAAGAAAATACTGAAGATCGTCTTGATGATTTTGAAGAAGTAGAGAAACAGACATTTATTGAAGAAGGAGAAATGCCAAATGAACAGAAACAAGAGGAAGAAGAGGAGAAAGCCGAGGAAATTCCACCAGAAGAGGAAGAGCAAAAAGAAATCCCACAAAATGAAGAAGAGCATAAAGAAGAGGAAGAGCAACAAAAACCACAAAAGAAACAATCACGTATCCCAACAAAGCGCTCTGCTGAAAAACAACCACTTCAAATTAATTTTGAAGAAATAATTAAGCCAAGCAAAGCAGAAGAGGCTGATTTATATATCGAATTCGTATCTGATGCAATTAACAATAATGATTTCTCTCAAATTGATCCTCATGCTGAGGAACTTGGTCCTGGTTTGAAATCCGCCATAAATCTCAAGCCAAAGTACTCACACTGGCTAGAAATAGTATCTGGGCTTCTTGACAAATACCCAGAACAATTACAGCCTTATATCTTCGAAATTTTCAAAGAAACTTCATTTAATCTCAAAATTGTTGAAAAAGCCGTTCAAATTTACACCGGAGAAGTATTAATCTCAGATTTGGCAGCTTCTAAGCGATCTGAACAGAATCCAGCAGCATTTCCATTCCTTGGAGCTTTATCTGAAATAAATGCTCAGGTAGACATGCTCAGAGAATGCCCACAACCGCATGAAACGTGTGCAGGATTCTGCAATGCAGTCCTTGGCCTCAATAAATTGGCAAACAAAACACCACAGATTTCAAATTACGTAAATGCTCATATAAAGAAGAATTCCTTTGCAGAAGACCTTACAAAACTCATCAACCAAGCAAAGGAAGGAAATAATATTCAAGAAGATCTCCAACATCTCCTTGAAATTTTCGAAAAAGATCAAAATGCACAAGAAATGATGACGATCATGAATTCAGAGGCCATTGAAATTTTTACAAATGAAAATCCGAAACAACAAATTGCGATTTTACCACTGTTTTCTAATGCTAGGAAGTTCACAGATGTTTCCTTTTCTAATTTTGTCGATCCAATAATTAATTGTATGTCTAAAGAAGATTGCGAATGGAAAGAGGACGGAAAACAGGCATTAACAGAAGTTCTTTATGAAGTTAAGTCAATGGGTGTCTTGTTCAATATCATAGACAGAGTACAAGACAAAAGAAGAACTGCTTTAGAAGTTTTACATAATTTCTTCGCGAAGGCAACCCCACAAAGAATTGTTCCTGTACAAAAGGCTGTTGCTATGAAATTGATCCCTTACAGTTCTTCTGATGATGACATCGTAAGGAACTTTGTTATTAACACTTTTGTCGAAATTAATAAGAAGATTCCGACAGTGTTCAAGAAACAGATCTCTAAGATGAAGCCAGCTGTACAACGTTTGGTTCTAATGAAAACAGCAAGAGCTAATAAGTAGAATTTATTATAACTAAAAACTTTTTGTAATTTTTTTGATAATTTGAAATTCATTATTTACATATCATGTATATTTTATGAATTGATTAAAAAATATCCAATAGAATGATTCTCTACTTCTAGATACACTTATTCTTTCCAAGATGGTATTATCATTCAAAAAGAAAAAAGTGGGTGAACCGTGAATCGAACATGGATCTATTGAGCCACAATCAACAATACTAACCATTATACCATTCACCCCTTACATTTACCTTAAAATATATCTGTATAAAACATAATTATAAATTTAATTCGTTCATCAATTTTGAAGAATTCTACATTATTTCTCTCTCAGAAACGAATTTGCGCATACACATACGAAGTTTACATGGACAATAACAAACAATAATATTATTTTTCAACAAGATAGATTTAGATTCGACATTTAGGTTGGTATTCTTGAGCCTTTTCAAGACTCTGGTTTCCTTTTTCCATCGTCTCAGTAGTAGCTTGGATTTTATCATCAACAGATCTTACTATGAAGCGCTGGTTTTGAATTTCATCATTGAGTTTATTGGTTACATTATCGATATCCCTCATTGCATTTGCTATTTCACGAGTTTCATTTGCAAGGTAATCGACTTCTTCTGTTTCCTGTTCGTATCTGATTAAGGCATCACTCTGCGGTTCTTGTTTTTCAGGAGTATGATATTCCTCATTGCCACCATTAGCTTCAAGCTTGGTTATCTGATGGTATAAGTCATCTTTCATTTCTTCGAATTCTTCTATTAAGTCTGTATATTTTATTTTGAGGTCTTTGAGTTCCTTGCCTTTGTATTTTTCGAACTCAAATGTAGTTTGTTCGGATTCTGCCTCGAATTTATCAAATATTGTTTGGATTTTTCTTCTGCTCGTTGTTGAATTAATGGATTTCTTCAAAGACTTAAGTTCTGCTAAATATGTTTTAAACTCTTCTATCTTTTTCTTTACAGCAGCAGGGTCAATCATGATTGCAATAAAAATTTATGGATAAAATTTTATCGGAGGGACTTCAGAAAAAAATGGCCTTCAATTCAAAAAAATTTTAAATGAAAAATCAAGATTTTTTATCAACATATAAAACAAAGCAAAACTTATGAAAATTTTCTTGTCATTTTTTTCAATTCTTTGCTTCGAAAGTCATTTGCGAGAGCAATCATACTATGCCTCCATGATACTTAGCTTACAATCGTCAAAAATTAGGATTCATGTCTTTCTCTTACGATGAATTTTATAAATTGGAAATATTTTGATAAAGAATAAATGGACATATATGGAAAAACCTTTAGATTTAGTATGTACCAGACAAGTAAAGCTTAATCGAGAAGAATATATATTAAATTATTTGAATAAGATAAAAAATAACAAATTTTATTAAACAAAAAATATTAATAGTATTGTTCGAATATTTTGTTGACTTCTATTAGAGTGTTCTGACCCTTAGATTGTCTTACTTCGTTCATTGCTTCTTCTCTCATTCCGCATTTTGCGAAAGCCAAAGCTTTTATGTCATGGGAAGGAACATTTGCGTTTACAAACTGCATAAATGAGGAAAGAGTGACACTTCTTCTGTGAAAAGCTGCAATTAAGTCAGGCATAATCATTTTTGCGTCGAATTCGTTCATTGTTCGCATTCCTTTAATAAATTCTTCCATGCGACCACTTAGTGGCAAAATATTTACTAATGAAATACAAACATCGGAGATATTTACGTCATCAAACGCGCAAATCTCATTTACGAAGCCCAAATGATAGTCCAAAAGTAAATTTGCGGCAAGTGTCAACGCGTGTTCTCTAGAAGTGATCAATTCTAGTTCATTTGAAAATTGTTTGTTGGAATCTTCGAAAACAGTGATAATTTGGTTCTGAATCTCTATTCTATGAAGTAACTCATACAATTTCTCTGGTTTGAACATCTTTGAACCTTCATCTACGATTGCTTTTTGAGTTTCCTTCTTTAGATCTTCCAAACACCTCTGCATCTCCTTCCATGACTTGGATTGAGCGAATTTCGCTATTCCTGAGGTCAAACAATCATCATGCATTCCTAATCTGAAAGTTATGTCGAAAATTGTGTAGTTTAAGTGGTAATTCTTAGCAAATGTTAAAGCATCATTAACATATGTCATTAGTTCTGGCCTTTCACCCTTTAATTTCATGATGTATCGCCATAACATGTTCCAATTATTATTTGCAAGGGCTTGAGTGAAAATTAAAGAGATAAAGTGATTGGAACCGAATCCTTCATCAAAGAAAGCATTAAATGCATCATCGAATGACCCTGTCGATGCATGAAATGCAACTCTATCTGATTTCAAGCCAGTTATCTCCAAAGATTGGTCCAATGATGATATCTGAGGGCTACTTGCAATTAATCCGACCTGAGAAGCATAAGCTTGGACAATTGTTCCGCGAATTGAAATAAAATGTTTAAATTTCAAACATTCGTCGATATTAATTGGCAATCTGAAGATTGTTGACCTCTTCAGATCGTAAAGTAGCTCTTGGACATTATGGGAGTGAACGTTCGTTGAGATAATCGACCTCTTTAATTCATCAAGTCCGTCCTGATAGTTTCCGAGGTGGAAACAGGCGAAAGCTCTGTTATAAGTCAAATTCGAATTTATTTGATACGAATTGACGATGTCAAAAGCCAAATTCGGGTAATCATAAATAATACAAATTGTAAATATGAACCTTCCGAATTCCTGGCTCATGAAATTAGAGAAGTTATATTTAAAGCCAAATCTGTGGTTGATATGGCGATGAAGAAGGCGATTTAGGATAGATAACTTCATAAATGTTGATTCGAAGCGAGAAATCTCGTGAGTCGTCTCAATATGGTTATATATTTGCATAATACTGTTGTATAACCTTGAAAAATCTTTGATCATCTTTAATTCTGATTCAATATCTTTGACAAGCATCATAGAAATGACAGAAGTGGCATTTTCAAGGACAGCATCAACAAATTCAACCGAGAAAACCTCTTTCCGCCTAGAAAACTCCCAAATTACGCGAATAATGTTATTATAATCTTTGATGTCTTGTTTTGCAACAATTTTGATGAATTCCATGAGTGTTTCATCATCTTCTGGTTTCTTGGGTGGCATATTTATGATGCAATCTGGGAAATATTGCTTGATAACTTCAATTTCGTTTTGATCGTATCCAGAAACATGTTCATTGATGAGATCTTGGATATCATGGATAAAGAATTCATTAGAGAGTTCTTTGGCCGCATAATAACGATTATTTCTGAGTAATTTGATAAATGTTTCTGGAATCGTAAGAGATTTGTCTTCAACAAGGGACATTGTCTTATATGTTGAGAATGGAAGAACTTTTTCGATCTTGTTAAGTGTCCATTTCTTAATAAGTAAAATCATTTCTTCCATGTAAAGATCTGAGTCTTGGTAATACAAATCATTAAGCTCATCGTAATCCTCTTTATAAAAGGCCTGGATTACGCGTTCATGCATCTGACTTTCTGTGATTTCTGTCCAATCAGAATAATTTGGTATTTTTACGTAGTTTTCGAGGACTTTCGTATTCTTAACTTCTGTTCCTTGCTCTATTTTAAGTGATCCACTGAGCAACAAATAAACTAAAGGATATTTATTTTTGATCATTTCCTTGAAATTCGGGCCCAAATCATCTCCCTGTCTCACAATTAATTCCAAGGACATTTGGCCGGCTATACGTTCGAAATCTGAAAACTTCGAGATATCATCTGCTTCAACAACTTTGTTTATGACTTCAATGATGGAATGGCCTGTTATATTGACATTAGCAGCAATTTTCTGGAACTCAATGAAGTCGTTTAACAAAGGATATCTGGCCAAATTTGCTGCTTGTCCTTCTTCTACAACAGTTAACAAAGCTGGGATACTATCTGCGTCAATGCATTCAAGAGGATTAGCAGTATTAAGGCGACGTTCGACCAATGCCTTGACAAATGGGTCCAATCCTTCCAAATCAGGTTGTCCCTCTGAATGCGTGAAGAAAAACTCAGCGGAGAGCAAGTTCTTATCATTAATATTACGAAAATCGGCAGGAAGATGGCGTCTCATGCGATCAGCGCAATCTGCGAGATAAGCAATTTGATTTAGCTCCGGATCGTATTTAAATATCTTCACAGCGTCATCATATTTCTTCTCATCAAATAATAATTGCAAAAGATATCTGTTTTCGTGGAAACAAATGTCAATTTTTTCCATTCCTAAACTTATAGCGGTATCGAGCTTTCTGTGAGCGATCTTAAATTGTTCATCATCTTTTAAGCTTAGTACTGCATCAACAATTGTCTTTGCGACCATTGGAGGACAGATATATTCTCCATTCACTTGTAAAAAGATCAAAGAGAACAAATCAACGAGTAAACTCTGCAAAACTTCTTCAGTCATGACCAAAGAAAGGTATTGCATGAACTGGCAATTGGCTTCTTTCGAAATTATTTCTTCAATCGCCAAAGAAATGCATTTCTGGGCAAAAATGAAGGAGAAATCAGATAATCTATCATTATCAGATATAATGTAGTACTCTAATTGCCTGTACGGCATTATATCCTCCATATTACTTGATGTCAAGAAACTTCGAAGGAAAAATGGCAAAGACATCTCGGCAAAGTTACTTCTGGATACTGTTATACCTGTTATTTGTCTTAGAATGACAATCAGACCGAAATCATTATGAAATCTCTGAATAATATTATCAAAAATTTGAATTCCACATTGGGACTTCGAACACTCTTCATTAACGTCAACCAAAGTTGTCTGGTTCGCGCAGAGTGATTCGTAGAACATTAGACCCATCATTGGCTTTAATTCAGGAAAACTACTGATATAAGCATCGCAAAGACTGTAGTCATCTTCCTGGATTAATATATTGTAACAAGGATCGACCATTTCATCAATAAACTGCTTTCTTTTCTTGACAATCACATGATTACATAAAGTAAGCAAATTATCTGAAGAAAATAGGGCGGATGGTCTTGGAAATGGTTCAGCACATTGGAACAAGCTCTGGAAAAGAAGAGAAGCCTTGTCGTCCTTTAAAATTGTTGGCATCAACCAAAGTTTTTTGAAATCTTCAGGGGAAATCAGATCCGCTCTGAAGTATTGTAGCATCTCTGGATCGATTCGTTTAGAAAGAGAAAGTGCTTCAAGTCCAAGATTTTCAAATAAAGTTTTTGAGCCAATTTTAATTAAAATGGATTCAACGTATGGATTTAATGCTTTGTATAAACCAAAGAATTGGTTGTGCATAATTGCTAAACCGAACGCAAGATCTTGTTTGTTTTTTTCTGGAATATTTCCATTTTTCTCATCTAAAAAGAACTTTGCAAGCAATTGTGCCCATTGTAAAGGAAGTTTCTGGAAGAGTTGTATGTAAAATTGAGGATTTATCGGTTCAATTATTGCAAAATCTTTTGGTGTTAATGTTAAAAGACGCCAACGCACAAATAAATAATCCATTATATCTTGTGATGGTGCCCATTTTTCTGGTGGGCCACATTCTGTCGATGTTTTGATGATTGAATATTTAATTGGAGAAGGAATTAAATTTTTGTACATTACCATATTCTCTACTGTTCCATAGAGGATTTGATGAATAAGTTCTCGTTCCAAATTGCACTCATCCACAAAGGGAAGCGTGTCTCTCCAAAATTCGTCCAAAATTTTTTATCTCAATTTATGCAGGATTAGCTCACAGACTTCATCAATCACTAATTTATAACATGATAAGCTAATTTTTTCTAATATTTTCTCATAAACACAATTTTTTCAACAATATTTCTTTGAATTTGATCCAAAATCAGATAAGTTTCCTACGTCATGATTCTCCATTTAGATTAAAATTAATCTATAATAGAGTCTAGTTTTGAAAACTATAATCTACTTTAGATATTTGAATTGTTCAGATTTTTTTGGAAATTAAAACGAATTATTATGAGGATTCAACAGTATAGATTATGCTTACCATATTATACTATTGAATGATATTACTAACTTCTTTCTTTTTTGCGGAAACTTTGACTGTAGATTTTGTAAACTCTGAAATTTTGTAACGATTATTTTTGAGATTTTAGAAACGGCAAGGAGGAAATAAAATGTCGATTTCAGCGTTGAAAGTCGATCCAAATCCATTAGTTTTCCCTGCCACTTGCATGAATTCAGAGTCAAGCATATCTTTCAAGTTGTTTAACAGCGGAAATGACATTATTAAGTATCAATGGCGAAATCAACCAAATATTGCTGCGGAAGAAGAGGCGAAATTACGCTTAGATATATTGGATCCACGTGTTAGATCCAATATGTCCAAGGTTTTTGTCTTCAGCTCAGACTCCTTCGTAATAGATCAATTAGAAGGAGAGATTTGGCCGCATCAAACACAGAATATCATCGCGAAATTTAAGCCAATACATGAAGGTACGATGAAAGCCACTGCTTATCTTACAAATATCCAAACAGGAGATAGAATTCCGATTCAAATTCAAGGTCAGTGTCAGGCACCTGATGCTCAATTTGACGTATCGTCAATCAATACAGGCCACATAGCACTTGATAACAGTTATGATTATCAAGTCATACTTAAAAACACTGGTGAAACTGATGTTGAATTTTCTTTGATTGAAGAAGAAACAAGCCTTAAATTCGAATTTACTCCAAAAGCTGGACGTATCAGCGTTGGAATGGCGATGCCAATTCAAATTCGATTGTATGCTTTGAAAGTTGGGCAATTTAATGAGACATTTAGATTCAAAATATCCGGTGCAGGCTATAATACACCATCTCTCGCAATAAATGGCAGAGTAATGGGGCCTTCTTTCCAATGCGATACAAAATTAATTAATTTTAAGACAGTAAGTTACGGTTTTACTTACAAACAAACTATACGAGTTACAAATGTATCAGATATACCATTAGATTACAATGTTCAAATACTCCAATCAGCAAATACGAATATTCGCGAATTTAACGTTTATCCTGAAATAGCTACGATCAGATCAAAGTCACACCAAGACATAACAGTCGAATTTATACCAGTAAACATCCAAGATTACAATACAACGCTTGTAATGACAAATCCAAAATATTCAACGCCTTTGTTATCAATTCCAATACAAGCAACATGTTTATATCCAAGATTATTATTAGAAACACCTGATTTAGATATAGGAAACGTTTTTATTGGTTATACTTACAATATTGATTTGAATTTAGTCAATAGAACAAAATTATTAGCAAAATACGAATATGAAGAATTGAATTTAACAGACGAATACGGTTGGAACTTAGAAATTCCTTATCCAAGTGGAATTATTCAACCAAATACAACAAAAGGCTTTCCAATAATAGTAACATTCTTACAATTAGGTAATCATACAATTAGTAGAGAAATAAGAGTTTCTGGAGATCCAAAAAATATAATTAAATTTAATATCAAAGCTTTATGCATTGGACCAACATTAAGTTATTCACAGAGTCCATTAAGTTTCGGAGAAATACCTGTTCTTACAAATATTCAACAAAATATTGAAATTAAAAACACATCTTTAATTAACGCGAATTACAAGGTTTCTTTTGCAAAACCATCAGCAGAATTCAAGTTATTAAAGACATCAGGATGTATCCTTCCAGGTGAAACCGATTATATACCTATTCAAGCCTTTTTAGACGATACATTAAATTTTGAAGCGACAGCACAGTTCCTTTTTGAACATTTGACACCAATAGATATACAAATAAAGGCAAAAGGAACAGGAAATGTGTTAATTCCTAGCATTCCTATGGATTCAATTAATCTTGAGTATTTATTTGTCGGAGAAAAGACAACAAAAGAGTTCACAATACACAACAAAGGACGTAGAAACATAGAAGTACGTTGGTCCCTGCAAAAAGCAAAGCTAACTCCCAATAATGAGTCATTTAATTACAATATTACTCCAGAACACGTAATTTTGAATGCATATACCGCTCAAACATTCACTCTTACAGTCATTTCATCGGCATCATGCGATTTCGAGATGACTCCTCAACTTTCAACGACAATTAAGAAGCAAAGGCACGATATCTTCACTCCACGTATATTTGGTCGCGTAAACAAAGTTCTAATTGATGTAGAAAAGCCTGTTCTTACTTTTGTTCACTCATATGTTCCAGATGAAAAAGGAAATATTCACATTCCAACAGAAATTAAACCAATTATCCTTGAAAATACGATAACAAATACGACTCCACTACATTTTGGCATAACAGCTACTTGCCAAGAGCCTTTTGTCATGTCTCCAACGCATTTCGACATGAAACCGGATGAATCTAAAAGTTTCAAGGTAACTTTCAACCCATTTTACAAAGAAAACTACCAGAGTGAGATTATTGACCGCAAGATCATCATGAAATGCGACGATAACCCTCAGCAATTCACTATTGACTTAAAAGGTGTAATTGAATTTCCAAATGTCACTTTTCCATCAACAACAATCAATTTCGGAGCACTTTCTAAGTCCACAGAGAAGACAGAAACAGTTATAATCAAAAATACTCAAACAATAAAAGCAGATTTTTGGTGGGAAATTGAAACACCTTCAAAAAGTGCCAAAAACGTTTTTGACATTTTCCCAACACGCGGCTCATTACTTCCCAACAGCGAGGACAAGATCTATGTCTCATTCTACGCTGCTCCAGGCGGAGATGATGGTCCTGCCAATTTTTCTGGTCGAGCAATTTGTCACGTGATTGGAGGACCAATTTACAATTTAGATCTTAAAGGATCAAGTGCAGCCTTTGATTACTCGATCACTCCAAGACTATTTACCTTTGAAAACTGTCTGGCCACCGAAACTCTCAAAGGTGAATTTGTTTTGAAGAGTATGAGTGATTTCAATTTTGATTACAATGTACAAATTCCAAAAGGAATTCGTGTCCAAGATTTCATTGTTTCTCCAATGTCAGGAACTCTTAAGTCCATGACGTCCCAGAATTTCATTATCTCAATAGTTCCCGGACAATTGAAAGACTACGACGAATTGTTCTTTATAAGGATTGGTCCTTTCGATGAAGAAAGAATTCGTGTGACAATAAAAGCAACTTTTCCAAGATTGGAATTCGATTTACAAAGAACTAATAATGACCAAATAAGAATTCTCAATCTAAATGCAACTAGTGAACAAGTCGCTATAACAGAGAAGAAGTTTATCAATGATAGATTGATAGAATTATACAAAAGACCTTCTTTCGTTGATAAATTCAAAAAACCGCCACTGATCACTTTTCCTAAGAATTTTAACGGTTTTTGTTTATCGGAGTTTAATTTAGATTTCGGGGAAGTTATGCTAGGAAGTGAGTTCGAGAAAACCTTCAATGTTAGATATGTTAATTATCATGGTGTTGGTTTCGAAATCATTGATAAATCTTTGAAACAAACAGGTTTCATCTTCGAATGCACAAAATGGAAAGATTTAAATACAGGAGATAATCTACCAATTAAAATTAAGTTCTCTTCGCAGGAAAGGAAAACAGATGTATATGGAAATGTATGTTATAAAGTTCCGTTCGTTATTTGTGAAGATTTCGGTTATATTTTGTATATAACCGCCATAATAACCGCTCCAAGTCTCACAATTTCTGAAAATCATATTACATATGAAAATACAATTATTGGAGAGACGAGGATAGTTACATTGCAAGTACAGAACATGAACAATGTTCCTGTAACATATACAATACATCCAGCTGAATACGCAGATGTTGTGAAACAAAAAACAGTTAAAAATCAACATCCTGTTTTTTCTGTTTTTCCTACAAGTGGAATGCTGCCTCCAGCAAGTTTCCAGAATATAGAAGTGATGTTTACTCCTACACAAGACAAGAATTACCAGATGATGTTGCCAATTTCTGTTTTGTACAATTCCCAAATGACTTATATTTCATTGAAAGGAAGTGGAATTCAACTGAAACTCAAATTCGAACCAGAAAAAATCGATTTCGGTATTTCTACTTTGATGCAAGGACCGACAACAAAGACAGTAAATATCATCAATCCATCAACATTTCCTATTGATATTTACTCAAAACAATTCGATGCGAAATTGTTACTCAAAAATCTCAAAAATTCGCAAAATGATTCAACAACGAATTTGGAGATGATAAAGAGTAGCTCGCATGTATCATTCACAGAAATCTCAAGCTTCTCATTCTGTGCTTTAGTCCACGGTCCGCCAAATAGTGGCAAAAGTGAAGTGTCAAAAATTTTGTCAAAATATTTAGGAGATGTTCCAATTGTTGTTTTAAGCGAAGTTTGGAAAGATGTTCCACAGAATTCGAAGCAATCTGATTACGTACAAGTTCTCAAACATTATTTAATGAACCCGGCTTTTGCAAACGGTTTTGTCATTGACGGTTTGAACGGTTTGCCACTTTCAAATGAGAATGAACAATATTTGAGTCATATCACGAAAACTAAAGGAGCTGTTGAAGAATTTACTAATGATCCATTATATATATTACCTCATAAAGAACAAACAGTTTATGAACAAGCGATTGTAACTGTTTTACAAGCAATTCACGTTCATTACTTTTATTTCATTTGTTTGAATGTCACAGAAAACAATTTAATCAGTAGATTGGAAGCAATTGACATTGCAAAGAAACAAGCTGAACTTGCGAAGATGAAACAAGAGTTGCAAGCAATATTTGATATGACGGAAGAAGAATACCAAGCATTGACACCAGAAAAACAACAAGAAGTTGACCAGAAAAGAGAAAATTACAGACAAAAATTGATGGGAATCCAAGAAAACATCGAAGAAAATAAAAATAACTCACAAAAGAAAGTGGCAAAACCAGCTTCAACTAAAAAAGGAAAGAACGCGAAGAACAATGCAATAGATCCAGTAACATTGAACCAACAGATCTTCACTTATTCCCTTGGTTCTGTTATAAACACTGCTTTGCAAATGAGTGAAGATTTTGTCAATTTTGACAAAACATTGAATTTCTCAGAAGAGGAGGAAGAAAAACCGATGACGAAGAACGGACACAGGAAATCAGTTGCTAAGCCAAAAGATATTGTTGTTCCTAAGCTCATGGAGCGCTTCAATGTCTCTGATTTGAGTATGAGTTATCAAACAGTTTTGGTTATTTCAGGAAATTGTTCAATCGACCAACAAAATTCCGAAATTTACAAATTCGTTCCTGAAATGAATGATTTGAAGGCTCAGGCGTTTATGAGAATGATTGAACCTCCGAAAGCTGTTATAGAAGAAGGACTAACAGTTCCGAAATTGATCAATCAGATGCCAAACACATTCTCCATCAAACAAGACATTTCTCAGATTCAAAATTATTATGATGAATATAAAAATATCGCTGTTGAAAGAGCCAGAGAGGAATGGGACATTAAGAACAAAGAATTCATGGATAAATTAAAGGAATCTTTAGAAAACCAAGAAAAATTGCAACAATCTGAAATTGAACCAGTTCAAGAACCTCAAACTGAGAAACCACCTGGTAAACAAATCAGATTTGCTGATAATGTAATGAAATCTAACAATTCTACGCAAGAATCCCTTGAAAAATCCCAGAAATCTGTAACAATTGGACTTGATTCTTCGGCAAAGATCGAGAATCCAACGAAATCATCGTCTAGATTAGAGAATGAGTCTAAACCTCCAGTTAAATTGGATAGTTCTGCAAAATCAACCACCAAAATTGAGAATTTACAAAAACAAGTTAAAATTGAGGGTGAAACGAAATCAAGCAGTAAACTATCCAAATCTAGTCCAAGAATTGGCAATCATTCTAAGCTGCAAGAAAGTATTCAGAAATCAAGTTCAAGATTAGTCCAAGAACTTCCTCATTTCGATGAAAGCAAAGTTGCTTTACCACCTATGACTCAAATATGGCATATAGAACCTGGTAAAAGCATTCCTCTTGAAATTACATTTAATTCATCAGATGTAGGAACATTTACGGGCGAAATTTACTTCGGAATATTAAATGCCATTGCACCGCCATTCAAGATTCCTATGGAAGGCAAAGTCATCCACCCAGATATCGAAAGATCAATGATAAAAATCTTCCAGGGCAACGTAACTCCAAAACTTACACCTAAAACAGAGATGACCTTCGTCACAGAACTGAACGAATTCCATTTCGGATCCCAAATCATTCTCAAAGACAAAGCAAAAGGAAAAGCCGCTTATAAATCTTCAGTTCACCTGACCAACATCACTGATTTTCCAGCGGAAATAAGTTTGTCATTGTCCGATAGCAATTCGAAAGGTCCATGGGCTTTGGAGAAGGACAAAGTCACAATCAAACCAAATAGTTCTGTAGATGTTTGGATTGGTTTCACTCCTATTACTGCTGATACATATAAAAACACTTTGACAATCAATATTGTTGATAATCCTGATCCTTTGCAAATCAATTTCGTTGGTATGGGCTGTATACCAATAATAGAATGCCAAGACCAAAACATTGATTTCGAGAAATTATTAGTGAATCAATCAAGAATTTGCAAATTCGAACTGAAAAACAGCGGAAGAATTCCAGCGTTTTGGAGAATAAAGGGCGGAAACACATTAGGAAACATGTTTAACTTCAGTGCTCTTGAAGGAATGATCATGCCAAAACAAAGTACATTTGTAGAAGTAAAATATGAATCTCCAAAACCATTTTCCATCAAAAAACAAATACAAATTGATGTAATGGATAAAACAAAGTTAAGAACGTTTTCTGCTTTACATATTAATTTCACGGCAGAAACATTCGATGCGAACTTCGAAATAGTATTTCCTAAAGGTATGGATTGCATCAATTTCGGCGATCTCAAAGCGAATAACGTTGGACAATTCCAATTAGGAATCAAATCGAAGTCAAAATATCCTTTGTTGTATAAATTCAATATCATGAAAAACTCTTTGCAAAAGATCATCAAAATCAATCCAATGGAAGGCGGAGTTCAACCTGACAATAAACCAGTGATGATTAACATATCATGCCAAACTAATTCATCACAGAAATACGACAAAGCAAAAGGAATCATGTTGAAAATGATTGATTGTGTTTCTGGTCAAGAAATTGCAAATGTTCCAATTCTTTTTTCAGCAAAAATTTTGTTTTCAACATTTTCAATTAATCCAAATGAAAATGTTGACTTTGGAAATGTTTCTACTAATACTACAACATCAAACAGCATAACAATCCAAAACATTTGTCCATTCCCATTTGATTACGAGCTGATTCCTGTTTCTCAACAACCTCAAGAACCAGAAACCCCAAGATCAACAAATCCAAGGGATAAAAAGAAAGGCGGACAAAAGCCATTGTCGCCAAGACCAGCCAAAGGAAAGAAGACACAAACTGTGTTGCAAATCAATGACTTTACTTTGTCTCCTTCATTTGGAACAGTGAATCCAAATGAAACAGCAACAATTTTGGCGGAATTATCTCCTTTAGAAGCAGCAAAAATTCAAAGCCAAATTTTGGTGAAAATTTCTGATTGTTCTCCACAATATGCAAATGGAATTCCTCTTAACTTGTTGGCAACTGCTTTCACACCATGCATTGATGATATAAACTATGATTTGATGTTCCCAGGAATTCCTATTGCTGTAAAAGCTGATTTGCAAATGAAAGATTTCACTGCTTTCCTTCCTGCAAACAAATTACTTCATATGGGTAATACAACAGTTGGACAGACAACATCATTGGATTTCGTGTTGAATAATCCTAACCCTGTATCATGTTCTGTTAGTGTTGATTTCAAAGTTCCACCAAAAACTCAAAATCCATTTTCTTTGTCAGAAAAATCTTTTGACATCGATGCGAAATCTTCTAAAAAGATTCAAATCTCGTTTACTCCTTCATCTCCTGGCTTATTCACAGCCCAGATTGTTGCAAGTGTTAAAGGAGGAACTACTTCAACAATTGACATCGAAGGAAATGGAGCTCTTCCTGAGATTTCCCTTGAATCAGCTGGAGAAACATTGACAGATGAACCTGTCAGATTTGGTCAGATTTTGGTTGGTTCTCAAAAAGTGAAACATTTGACGATAAGAAATATCGGTAAAGTCACTTCACATGTAACATTATCTGCAACAAGATCTGCTGATTTCACTGTGAATGGAGATACTGAATACAACATTCTTTCTGGAGAATTTGTGAATGTTCCAATTGTTTTCAAACCAGAAAAAGTTCGACATTCTCAAATCGAAATTTCAGTGAAAGTTGAACAGAACGAATCCCAAAACAGAACAATCCAATTTGCTGGCGATGGCAACAGAGAAGAGATATTGTTTGATGGATTGCCAAATGACGATTCCGAACTGGTTTTCAGGGAAAGTATCATTGGTTCTCAGCAAAAGATTACTTTCACGATGAGAAGCGTCAGCCAATCAACAATTAGATTCGTTTGGGGAAGATTAAATGATTTCACTTTCGTTCCATCAATTGGACACATCAGAGCAGGAGAATCTAAAAAAGTCACTGTAACATTCATGTCGAACAAACCTGTTACATATAACTCGATAAATCAGACTTTGTCGGCACTGAAAATCAAATTAGAAGATGAAAACTGTGAGCATTGGGATGACTCTTTGAAGGACACAAAGTTCATAACAAGACGTGAGAAAGCCCAATTGAAACAACTACAAGTAAATCCACCTCCTGAACCAAAGAACACAGCGAGGAAATTCCCAGGACACGCGAAATCGAGGAAAGAAAGTGTCAAAGCGCAAGTTAACTCAGAAGAAGAAGATTTTGGAGGAGATCCAGATGAGTTAGTCAAATATGTTGAAGTACATCCAGAACCTCCTTTCACACCAACTAAAGAGAAAAGAGATATAACCCTGAAAATCTCTGCTGCATCAGATTTGATCAAATACAATTTGGATGCAACAACAATCGAATTCCCTCCAACAATGATGTACACGAAAGTTCCTTCTTATTTCACAATGACGAACACTTGTGGAATTTCTTTCACGTACAGATGGTTCGCGTTTAAGTTCCAGAGTCTTCGTGGGGATGCTGATGTCAATCCGTTCTCAATAACTCCATCTGAAGGACAACTTAAACCTGGAGAATCTCAAACATTTACTTCTATTTTCATTCCGAAGGAAGTTGATGAATTTTCTTCAATTTTCAGATGCGAAATTCCATTTTTGACATCAGCTCTTCCTGAGCTAACAATGACAGGAATATCGAGACGTCCTATCTGCCACCTTGGCATTGATCCAAATGACTATTTGACGAGTGGAAGAAGAATGCCAGAATTCACAGATGAGTTGCCACAAGATGTCAGGATTGTTGAAATTTCTGCGAAAAAAGTCGGTGAAAAAACAATTAGAAAGATAGATATTGTGAACACAACAGCTACGTCATATGAAGTAATATGGACACAGCAATATGATAGAAGTAATAATAGTGTAAACTGCGAAAATCCAAACCTTTTGATTTCAAGCGGAAAAGAAACAAATGTTACTTTTACATTTACTCCTAAATCAAACAAAATTGTCGAAAGCCTTTGGCAATTCAACATTCCTTCATACAATGTGAAAGCACACGTTCTTATCGTAGGAAAGGTTTCTGCTATTTAACAATTATATTATTGATTTATTCTTTTTTTATTTATATATAAAATGTTTTTTATTATTCGGAAAATAACATATTTATTTTTAAAAATTCGAACTCTTGTTAATAATATCTCATGATGTACTCTTGGAAATTCATTGATCGTTGAATTCTGATGTATGTTTTCCAATTGATATATTAGTAATGGATCAAATTCTTATTAAAATATGACTCTTTTTCTGAATGTTTCATATTAAGGAAAACAATGAAATATAAAACAATGTATGTATAGAGGGGTTAATTTTCATTACAATTGTTAACCGAAATTATTGTATCAATTCAATTTCATATAACTCTAAGATGATTCATATTAGACTCATTTTCGTTTCCATCAAGAAATCCTATCAATTTTCTGACAATTTTTTGAGTGAAATGTCAACAGTCATCTATTTTTATTTCATGATGAAAAAAGTTATATTTAAGAATTAGCAATACTCTTTTCTAATCATGTCAAAATTTATCAAAAATTTGTATTACCATTCAAATTTATATAATTATAAAGATGAAATTGCTTATCTGCATGTGTATCATGTCTATTCAATCATCAGACCTCATTTGGAATGATTTTTATGATTCAGATGTTTTAATTTGTTATACAAATGAAGAAATAAGAAAGTTAATAAACTATGACAACTACTTGGTGTTGAGCTCACATTTTCAAAATCTAAATGAAAAAGCAATGTATTTCACTAATGCTGATTCAGTAAAATTATTAGTCTCTGGGTCAAAGTTTTACTCATTTTGCTTGAATACCTTTGGAGGATGTGTTTTATATTTACACTCTGGTAGTTATATCCTTCATAAAATTACAAGCTTTAACATGACTTGTAACGCTGCTTCTAGTCATATATACTCATCTATTAATTCAAACAATAAAACTTTCATACTTTCATCAACTATGGATGTTGGGAAATCAGATTTTGGAGCCCTAGAAATGGGTGGCGGTGATATTAGATGCACAGATAATAATATCACGAATATGATCAGTAATAATGCTGCTGCAAATCTGTATTTTAATTCAGAAGAAATGACAACATTTTCAAATTGTATCAATAATACAGCTTATCCATCAGGGATTCTTTTCCTAACAGGAGTTCCATTTTGTACAATGAAAATGTACAACATTGTCTCAAATAGTATTATTGGTAATGATATCCCGAATGGTATTGTTAATTCTGGGTATAATGGATTGATTTTATCGGAATGTGCTATAGTGAACAATGTGTCTCCCTATTTATTTGTAACAATATATAATGGCTATATAACTGTTAATTCAACATATATAAGTGGTAATAATTATCAAAATTTCAAAACAGAACAATATTCTGGTAGATCAATCATTGTCGAAACTACAAATTCTTTTGATGTGAACTTTTGTAAATATTCTATTACAAGCTATTTAACATTTGTAATCAAAGCAAAACAAGCATCACCAAAGATTTGTTCATGTGAATGCAGAGTAGATAGAAAATTTGCAATATTTTTGGGATTAGTTATTAGATGACATCAAATGCAGCCAATTTTTTAAAGCTTAGTTGATCATATCTAGTCATTGTTTTGATGGAACTAAACTATTTAAATTGCAAATTACAGGAATGGAATTTGTAACCAATGAATAAGAAATTAGTTATATTTGCTTTTATTAAATAAACACATTCTAACTTCTGTTTTCTAATGAAATATGATATTGAAAAATTGAAGAACAGCATAATAATCAATCATTTTTTGATTCATATTCTTTATTGCAATAACAGGCATCTGCTTTGTGGTACTTTATGCATAAAACGGCGACTTTTCGTTTGAATTTATCTATGTTTTACTATATTTCATTGGAAATTAAAAGATTTAATGTAAAGTGTAGTTTTCAATGTAAATACTCTTATTTCAAAATTTTATTTTTATAAATTTATTTTATGATATAATTACTAATAAATAAAGAAATATCCAAAACTTATGTCAATTGAATTTTTCAATCGATTATTTCTGTGTGTTAAAAATTTCACATTTGTTTTATATTTAAGGGTGCACCCGCATGTACGTTTATTTGAGAGTAGGAGGATTACCCTCTCAATTTTGAATGCTTCGTTAGCGCAATATCTCGATGAATATTGTATTAAAATAGAATTTGCCCATACCAATATATCTGATACAATATCCTTAAGTTTTACTAAAAAGAATTTTTTAAAATCCCTGCAGATTCGGGGATTTTTAAATTTTTTGATTTTTTTCGCAAATTTTTCGAAAAAAAAATATTTTCAGAAGAGCCTTAACGGCTAAGTTTTATGTTTAATGTTGAGTATCAAAAAGAATGGGCGTCTGATATAGCCATCATATATCCCAGAAGCAAATAAAAATTCTGACTTTTTAAGCATAAAAAAATGAAATTTTATTTTTTGCAAAAAACAGGCCACCCGGATGTACGTTTATTTGAGAGGAGGATTAAATTTTTGAAAGCAGTAAAATTTGTAAATATTCTAGTTATATAATAATATGTATTATTTTAAAAAATAAAAAATTAAAGCACGTTAAAATTTTTTTTGATGAATTTTTACAAAAGCTACTTAGGATTATGCAAAATATAGTAATTAAACATAAATTTCAAATCAGATTTTACTTATGATAAATATTTTAAATTTCCGAAAATTAAGTTCAGATCGACTCGATACGTTGTAATTACTAAATAAGGTGCCAAAAACCTATTAAACAGTATCAAAACTATCAAGATTGTAATGTTTTTGAAGAAAAATTTATAGAATTATGAACTTCAAACAGATATTATGTAAATAAAAATAATATAATGGATTTGTTTATTCGTATAATAGCAGCAATAAATCGATTATTCACTTCTACTTCTGAGATTTGAATTTAATTTCGACAGAAAAAGAGATTCAAGAGGAAAATACTAGGGAATACAAACTGCCACCATGACAGGATTATTATGGAGCCAAGTTGTACTTTTTGATATTTTTAGAGTTTTACTACCTATTTAGGTACCAAGTAATTGCTTAAAAATTAAGGTTCTAAATTCTGAAGTTTACATGATCCTCCCGGGCGCACCCTTAATCATAAAGACTAAAAAATAATAGAATTTAAATACTCTTTAAAAAAAAAAAAAAAAAAAAAAAAAAAAAAAAAAAAAAAAAAAAAAAGGTAGTGGGGCTTCCAGGGGCTGCGCCCCTTCTAGCCCCGAAGATGTTTAGTATAAAATGAGGTTTTTATTCGGAAAATTGTTAGTCTTCTGGTGTGAATTCGGAGGACTCTTCGTGTTTCTCTTCTTCGTGTTTCTCTTCTTCTTCCTCTTCCATTGCTTCTGGGAAGAAGTCTTCTTCTGGGTCGAAAACATTATATAATGTGTAATTGAATGACACATTATATCTTTGTTTGAGTTCGCTCTTGACAAAGAACTTAGTTCCAGGAATACAGAAGACTTCTGTGCGTTGGAAAAGCTGATGTCCTGGAACAAATTTGGCAATTAGAGACTTCTTTTTTCCGAATTGTTCAGGAGTTTCCATGACGACAGTAACAACATCTCCATCTGCGAGGTCTTGTTGTTGTTCGGAAAGGTAAAGAGCAATGATATAAATGGTTGCTGCGTTGAATTCGAGAAAGTCGAATTCAAATTGTGTTGTCGTATAGCATTCAAACCATTTTGTACAGTTGTCTCCGAACTCGTCAACGTATTCATCTTGGTCATATCCGTAACTAAAGACTTGGAATTCGGCAATTGTCTTGTCGAATGACCGTTGGATGTTACGAGGAAGATTTTGACGAACTTGGTATAAAGTTCTCAACATTATAAGCTTAGTAAATGTTGGAAAATACTGAACTAAGACATCGCTAAGCTCAATTGGACTTGGAATTGTCTTAGTAAGTTCAATTGAACTAGCAATTGCTTTGTTCAGAACTTCACAGAACTGAGTATTGTATATAGCGTCTGGTTGTGTGTTTTCTTCGGCGTCTTTGAGATATTTAGAGCAAATTTGTTGAAGAATTTCTCTTAATTCGCTGTTAGACTTTTTGGCGGTTATTCTAACAGCTGTGCCAGTTCTTGGAGGTTGTGGGGCTTTGGCTTTGGTTAGCGGTTGAGAATTGTTAATGTTGGCTTCCATTAGACAAAAATAAACTGTTTTTTTCGGACTACTCATAGAAAAGTTTAAAATAAACCGTTTTCGTCAACGGTAACCCCCTCTATTTTTTTATTTTATTTAATAGTTACCGTTGGCAAACCGTTCCATCTCAAATATTGAATGAACTATAAACGTTTTTTGTTTTCTATATATACTTTTTTGTCCAACGGTAAAACTTTTTACACAACGGTTTTTGAGAGTCGTCGCTGTTGACTTTTTTGTAGAGCACTCAAAATAGTATAACTTTGTCCGGACAAGTAAGGGTCTATCGTCGCTACAGGAAAAGTTACGGGCGTTCCAAGGAAGTATACTTTGAGAAGCCTTTTCCCCTTATAGAATGAGATAGGACGGTTTTTTTACAAAACTGACAACACTTTGACCGAGTAGTTTTTTGTGCTGAACAAAAAGTGTCATACAAACATCTGTCAAAAGCCGCTTTTTAACTTCACTTAAAATGCCACGTAAGCTACGTAAGAATATACGTAAGAGGAAGAGAGCATTGAAACATCCAATAGTAAGACTGACACCACAACAACAGTTGCAACAACAAATGATGAATGACCCCACTATGTTGCAACAAATGTCAAGCAACCCTATGCTTTTAAACCGAGTTATTGGTGCACAGAGTGGAGGTTTAAGAGCGGCACTTTTAGCGAAAATGGCAGGCTATGGTGGAGCTGCAGACGGAACAGCCTATAACCCTCAAAGTCAAATGAATTTGAGTTCACTCAAAAATCAAATAGCAGATGTCAAAAAGTCAAACATAGACATACAGAAGCAAATAGGTGAAAACGAAAAGAAACTAGAATATGACAGACACACAAAGAAACTCAATGAGTTAAACGTAGAGAAAAAGAAGAAAGAAGAACAACTGAAAGAACTAAGTACAGAGGAATATGCGAAAAAAGTGTCAGAAAAAGCAGCAGAAGTAGCAAAAATGGAACAAGATGTCATAAATTTGAAAAACCATACTACTCAATATAAAATACTGAAAGATGAAGAGATAAAACAAAAAGCCCTGAAGACATATATGGATAGCGATGAGTATAAAAAGGAAGTTGAAGCAAATGTAAAGGCAGAAAAACTTTTACAGTTGCAAAACCAAACCGTACAGTATGAAAACTTAGCACAAGAAAGTAAAAATAACGACGCGGCTATGCAAAAGGCAATGAAAAGCGCAGAGTATATAAAAGCTAACAATGACTGGTTAGATGCCCAAGCCAACGCTAAAGCAGCCCAACTCATAGGGTCAATAAGGACAAAAATACAAGCGGATGAAGACAGTTCAAATGAAGCTTTAACAAATGCTGACTTTAAGAACGCCTTCGAAGCTCTTCATAGTAAGGTGAAACAAGTGAACGACTTCTCATCTGGAAAGAAACTGAAGTCTGAAGGTTTCGACAAAGAGTTAAAAGAAGTAGCACAAAATATGACGAAAATAACAGATGCAGCAACGAGACAGGCAGTTCAAAGTGCCTATGACGCCGTTAGAGCAACTGTTGTGAAAAGTCAAGAAAAAGAGTTACAACAGACCAAAACAGACCTAGTAAATGCTTTCTTAAAAACGAAAAGTCAGGTAGGACATTACGCTGCAGATGGAACATATGTGCCAGCTGGTGGAATTTATATACCACCAAACCCTCCAAGAGAAGCACCTGCACCAGGACTACCTAGAACATTTACATCGTCACATGGACACAGACACAGGCATGCACCAAAACCAGCACAACAACCAACACAACAACCAGCACAGCAACCAACAGTTCAAAACCCTGCACAACCAACAGTTCAAAACCCTGCACAACAACAACCACAAACAGAGCAAGGACATAAAAGAAGTAGAGAACAAGGAAACCAAGAATTCTTAAAAATGCTTAAAGAAGAGTGTGGTTTCCCAGATACTGTTGACTTTAGTGACAGATATAAAGAAGCTATTAGAAAGTTCAAGGATGGAAATACTGACCCGAACCTATTTAGCTTTATGGCTCAGCACCAAAACGGATATAATCTCAAACCTGGAAAATACAAGCTCGCTAAGGGATATGATTTAATAGCATATCATCCAAATGACATGGATGAATTTACTCCGAGATATTTGATGTCAGAGCTAAATGACAATTCAACTTTCGTCATGAAACGCGTAAAAAATAGAGACGGAACGAAAGAACAAAAGCTTATGAATGCGGATGACGTAGATAGGGAAATTGTTAAAAACGGTCTCGGAATATATGAAATGCCAGCAGATGAGGTACAAGAAACTCCACAGGAAGAAGTTCAGATACAACCAGACATGGAAGAAATAGTTCAGCAACAACAGCTAGAAGAGCCTGAAGGAAACGAACAAGTCACTCCTTTGGAAACTAACTTCACAGAACTAGATGAAGATTTGGAACAGCCGAAAAATCTTGACCCTCAACAAGAGTATGCGGAGAATATGGAATATTTCCAAGAGTCTAAAAAAAATTCGGCTGACATAGTAGAAGAATATCGAAAAATGTTCGCCGACATACAAAAGACTCCAACACCAGATGAAAATATCCAGCATAGAATGGAAGAACTGAAAAAAAATGTACACAAATACAACAACCCTTTTTACTTACGAGCATTTAACGTTCAATCTTCGGATGAACTCGGTGAAAATAAAAGGTTAAATTTCAAGAAAACATATAGAAATGAAACATTGTTTAAAGTTCATTCAGAACCTAACCAAGATGGAAACAAACCTACTTTTGTTTCTGCAGACGATGGAACTACAATGAGATGGGGTCATAAAGCTAATCCAGATAGGTGGTTCATAAACTTACAACCACAATTCCAAGAAGTTGTAGACGCAATGGAAGTCAATGGTGAACGAGACATAGCTGGTATTTTCAGCGCGGCTTTAATGCCATTGAAAGATATGAAAGATGCAGATATTTTGAACCAGTATGAAATGAACATGGCTGATGGAAATATAACACCTGACGTTCTAGAACATTTATCTCAAAGAACTACACAGAACCATAGAGATGGTATATTTGGTGAAGAGTTTAGAAAGAAAGTTAGGGAGAGCGAAGGAAGAGAACCTATTGTACATGACCTTGCAAACGAAAGTTTACAAAATGTCATAAAAACTTACTTTGCAGACAATGAAATGAGAAGGGATGAATATTTAAGAAAACTCAAATGGACAGTACCAAATGAAATGTTAGTATTGAAAAACATGTTCCTTGACAAAATAAAACCAACTACAGAAATAAACGACGCAAGACTGAAAGATTGGGTAAAAGCTTTCCCATTCACAAAAGATATTATTGGTAACATGGAAAGAAAACCAGAATGGCTACAAAAACATATATTTGGAAACGAGCTTATTCCATATGGACAGCTCTGTTTGAAGAGCTTGAACCAGAAACTCAGGAAAGAGTCATGCAAACAATACGCGAAGACTCAAATACAGACTATGACAAACTCTTTCTAGGATATAGGTTACCTGAGATGGGCGACCAGAGCCAAAAGGCAAAAAGGACATGGGAAATTTGCAACATACTAGATGAACATAATGCAAAGATGCAACAACTTCAAGCAGAGGGCAATGAAGGAAAAAGAAGAGTTAAAAACTCAGTCAGGAAGAAAGTAAAGCTTGGTCGGAGTGGGTTCTATTATGACATATAAATCCAACTATTCTATATTTTTACTCATATGAAATGTACGCCGCTCAGAATATAACGCCAACAGTTTTGGATGCATGAATGGAAATGTTTCCGAATGGTATAACGAATGCGACAATGCCATTAGAAGGTCAGAAATAGTTCCTGGAACTTACGAATATACAACTGCTGTTTCTTATGGAAACGTAGGTGAGTTTGGAGAAGGTTCTTCAACAACAGTAGATATTGCTTGCGACAGGTTTCATATAATTTCTATTGACAACTCTTTCTTATACGTGGAACAAGACATTGAAATAAAACCTTCTGCCAAGTTGTCTGACAAGAAAGGTTGCAATGGAATTTTCTATGTCGGATACCAATATGCTCCAGAAGTTTTCATGGGATATAAGATATATTCTAACTCTGACTTAGTTCAAACAGTAACATGGGCAAACTATGAATGGTTCGCTTTGAGAAACTCAGTACAACCACAAGCTAGAGAACAAACAGACCAGTATGCAACTATTGAGAAAATAAGAAGACTTGACCCTAACGTTCCAGGAGTTTATGTTGACCTTTCTGGACAAACTGCAGCAGCAGTAACCAAAGTAAAACTGAAACTTAGAGTTCCTTTGTCATCTTTCCTCATCTTCAGGTTTTTAAGATACTTGCCAAACTGGGCAGGAAAAATTTCTATCGAACTTACTCCAAGCAAAAATAACTTAGTCATTGCACCAACACAAGACCCATTCACTCTTACAGACGTAAAGGGAGCAAATCAAACGTCATTCGCCGAATTTTGCAAAGACAAAGTTGACTTAGACTTTGGTTTCTCAAACCTCAACACTGAAGTAAACTACTACTTCAATGCTGCTGGAACTGCTTGGGACCCAGTTAAGTTCACATGCGAAAAGTTTGAATGCAAGAGAATAGAAAGCAGACTTGCAGTCTATATGTTGGACCCAGATATTTCAAATGCTTTAGCTGCCAAATATATTGCAGTTCCACTTATGTTCCCTATACACCAAATATCTGTCAAAGACTTTGCAGGTGAAGTTGGAAACCAAAGTGCTGACCCAGGTGCAAGAACAGATATTGCTTTAACAACTGCAATGAAACATGCAGATACTATGTTTGTACTGTTCAGACGAACTATAAATGACTATTCTTGCTTCTACAACCCTGGTATTAAATACCATATAAACATAGATGGCAAATATTATCCAAGAGAAGAATATTCTACAGTTGAAGATATGAGGTCATACAACTTGACATTAGATGCTATGAACTTTAACAACAACTTCACAACAACCATTAACCCTGAAATGCAAAGTTCTATTATGCCATATGTGAAAGTATGGACTCATACAGGAGGTCAAAAAACTCAATATACAAATGGAGACCGTTCAAACTTTTGGCTTGGCATTCCATTTGCTGACTCAGAAGACTTTATGGGTGGTATTTCAACTGTTGGTACTGTACAAATACAATATACTGGTGACAGAGACGGTCCAGATGAACTGAGAGCAAAGAAGTTTACAAAACCAATAGCACTTTTCACGGAAGATGCTCTTTTGAAGATTCGTTCGATGAAACCTGCTGGGGCTCCTCAGATTGGCATAACGACAGCTTCCATCGAGCAGATTTTGGCAGCAGGTCAGTAAGTTGTTCTTGAACTGACTTCTCTCCGTCAAATATTGACAGTACGCCAGTCTTAACATAGTATTGTATTATAAACTTACCTTTAGAAATATCGGTCAGTTTTGTTGTTATATTTTTGTCAACGTCAAGAACTTTCACCATTTCAGTTATACCAACTTTCTTTGCTTTATGAAAATATTTTGGTTCAGCAAAGACTGCTATTCTATAACATTTCCATTGTTTGTGTAAAGAACTACTCTGTCAATGAACTTGTATTGTTTGTGTGTGTAAACTTTGTTCTGCTTCAATTCGAAGAGATACTCAAATACGTCCATCTTTTTATTCTAAGTAAAATGTCATTTCCGAAAAATAGAAGCGTAAGTGTTTCAAAAGGTTTAATGGCGATGGCAGATGTGAAGTTAAATTCACCAACTCAAACAAACAGTCAAAGTGTTGTTGTCAATGTCAAAGAAAGAGATGTTGAAGTGGGGAAACCATACGAAGACCAAGATGGTATAACAATTGTTCCTGTAAAAGAACCAACATATCCTGAAGTTAGCAGAGACTTAAGTTCTGTTGCAGATATTCGAAACGACTACCAACAACTTAAAGACAAACTTCAAACTCAGGAGAAGATTTGTCAAGCTTTAAGTATAATGTTAAACTTGGTCGAACACAACCCTGTAAAAGTGAACTCATATGTCATTGCACCTCATGAAGTTTTGAAAGAACTATTGAAACTTTTGACAGAGGCAGACGATATAAACATCAAAGAAATAGAACCCGACATTAGTTGCTGTGGTGTTTCATATAATGTCATTGACAAGATATACGTTATGAAAGGAGGTGAAACGTTGAACTTAAAGTATAGTTTCCCAGACGTCATAAAAATATTTGACGACCACAACATTTCATTAAAGTTTATTTGCTAAGTAAAATGTCAAAACTTCTTGAAAGATGTTTGAAGAAAAATAATATAGACTTTATTTCATGTAAAGGACTTTACACACTTTTGAACGATATGAAAGACCCTGTTTTGTTTGTTCGTGTAGACAAAGGAAAGTTCTATGTCTTTACAAAATATTTGAACTTCTTAGACAGAGAACTTCAAGAAACGCCATGTGAAAGTTTAGACGAAGTTCTTCTCACTTTCAGAAAAACTTTTAAATATATATAAATGGCAGAAGAATAGTGGTTTATACTATTACGACTAAAAACCCTGAGTCATATAATTCTATAAACAAAACTTACAAAGTCCTCAAGGACGATATTGTAAACTACCTTAAACACAATGACGACTAAAGCCTGTTTTGCTCTTTTGACACCAGAAGACTTTGTTGTTGTGAATGGTAAAAAATACTTCTTTGAAGATACTTACTCAGATATACCACCAACAGGTTTTGTTGACTTATTTAATACTTTAAGGACGGATGTAACATGTGCTGCAACTAGAGCAGGTTTCATTATGTTTGGATGTCCGACTGAGTTTAGTATAAACGATATGAGCTATAATACAAAACTTATATCTGGTTTTTACTACCAACAGTTTCCTATAACAGGAAAAGGTGTCATACAAGGTTTGTCTGTTCCATTGACTTTAAGTACACCTATTTTATATATTGTTTCAAACTTAGGTTCAAAGTGCTATTCGAATGTCGACAGAAACTACTATGACCAAAAGATACTCATGCGTATAAACAACACTTTCTCTGCTGGTTTGCCTATTGTTCATTCGAATGCAGAGTTTTCAGCTTTAGTAAACTCAAACACTTTAGCAAACATAAACTTAACCTTAGTTGACGCAAACTTTGTTCCTGTAAAACTTTTATGTCCTATGTATTTGTCAATGACGGCAGAAAGTTTCGAATTGGAAGATGCAACTGGTGAAAGTATTGTACTACAAGAACAACTTCAACAACAAATAGCTCAAGAACAACAAATGCAACAAATGGAACAAATGCAACAACAAAGTCAAGAATAAAAAAAATATTTTTTTTATTTTTATAAAAATGTACAGAATAGACGTTTCAGATTTTTATGACTTCCAAGCGTTCAGAAATATGTGTCCATTTAGAGACTATAACAAAGCAGTCGAGAATTTGAAACGTTTAGTCATTTATGTTGACTCTGCCCCAGAATGTTATGTCATGAAAGAATGGGATGTTGTCTTTAACAAAAGCAAAAATAGTTTCAGAACAAGAATGTAGACAGAAACTTAAGAAAATAAAAGTCGTACAAGTTGGTATGAAGATGTTAGATGCTTGGGATATCTTATTGTCAAAGTTAGAAGATTTTTCAGTTCGTGGTATAAAGTTCTATACACCATCTCCAAACTTCTATTCTATCTTCACTGGATATAAATACGAACAAGTAGAATGGAAAGAAAATATTATAGAAGCTTGGTTAGACCATGTCAAAGAAATTATATGCAATGGAAACGAAAGAGTCTATGAGTATATCTTATGTTGGTTTGCAAACATCTTACAATATCCAAGTGCTAAAAATGAAACTGCTCTCATTATAATTGGAAAACAAGGAACTGGTAAGAACACTTTCTTTACAGATATCTTATGCAAACTGTTAGAGGGCTATTCGAACCCTAATATGACAAACTTAGAAAACATCTGCGGTAAATTTAACTCTTCAATAGAGAATATGAAACTTATAGTATGTAACGAACTTCAAAGTATAGATACAACAAAGGTTTTAAACTCAGATGCTTTGAAGAGTCTTATAACAGACAAAGTTGGAGTTGTTGAAAGAAAATATAAAGACCAAAGAGTTTGTGAAAATGTTGCAAACTTCATCATGGTTTCAAACAATGTTGTTCCGATGAAGTTAGAAAGTTCTGACAGAAGATATGTAGTTGTCAGAACGTCAGATTCTCATATGCAAGATACAGAATATTTTGACGACTTAGCAGAAACTTTGACATCTGACTTTTACAACCACTTGTTCTCATATTTCATGACATTAGATATTTCAAAGTTCAATCCAAGACAAATTCCACATACCGAAGAGAGACAAACATTGTTAGAAGCAAACAAGAGTGTTTATGAACTGTTTATAGATGAGACTAACTTTGAGTGTTTAGATGAAAGGTCATTGTACGATTCATATATAAACAATATTGTCAAGAGTATGGTTATATGGCAGCTTCTAAACGTACATTCTTGGCAAATGTCAAAAATCTTTTAGACATACAGAACGGCGTATATACAAAGAAAAATTTTTCTGAGTAAATTTAAAAAAAATATTTTTTTATCCGATAGAAAAGATGACGAAATATATTTCAGTCAACAAGTACATGACAGAAGTCAAAGAAGAACTAGACCCATTCATATATTTGAATGTTTACTTCTACCATTTTGAAAAGTCTACATTTGACAAAGTTTGGAACATCGAACCAGTTAAGTTTGCTATTGTGACTAAAAATGGTGCGAAATTTGAAGACTTAGACATAGAAGGTTTGTTAGCAGTCAAAGAAAATTTTGACAGAAAGTTCTCAAACCTTAAAGAAGGCAAAGCATACAAACTTGTTATACCTTATGAACCAAAGAAAGCAGACGACTATGAATATTATGAGTCTAAGATAGTTGAAGTTCAAGGTAAATTGGGTAAAAAGATTTTAGAGTCTAAGCCAGTGTTTGCTCCTAAAGAGGAAGAGAACATTGACATTGACCCAGAAATGTTCTAAAAATAAAATTTTATTTTTACATGTCAAATTTCTTTTTCTCTGGAACTGGCTCTGGTTCTTTCTTCTCTTCTTCTACTTTCTTTTCTTACTTTCTTTTCTTTCTTTCTCTCTCTTCTTCTTTTCTGGTGGAGTTATGTCAAATTTCGCAACCATATTTATGTAAAAGTTCTTTGTCCTTTAATAGCTCTTCTATTCTGTTTTCTATTTCATCTTCAAGAACAGCGCATGTGTCTTCTTTGCATTCTAAGAACTTTTGTTGGACTTCATCTTCCAAGAGGCGTCATCTCTGTCAACAAGTCTGTCATTGACAAATTTTAAGACTGCTCTTTGTAATGTTTTATGGTTCTTGTCATATTCCCAGAAACAGAACTTTAGAACAAATTCACCTTTCTTGTTTACACTATGTAAGATTTTATGGTCGACAGATGTTTTGAGTCAAAAGTTTGTCTCGAATATAGATAGCGAAATCGCTAGACATTTTCTAAAAGATAAAAATTTTAATTTTTCTAAAAATATGTTAGAAAAAAAGTTTGCTGACATTGACAAGAAATTTGAGAATGTTTTAAACAAGAACAAGAGGAAGTTAGAAAATGCTCAGATAAAACCTATACATGACAAGTTCTTATTTGCTCAGAATGGTATAACAGGTCTAATTGCACCACCTGGGTCGGGTAAGACTTTCACTTATCTTAAAATGGCTGCACAACAACAAGAACTAGATGAGAAGAACCCATTCTATGAGTTAGTAGTCATTTGTAGTACTTCTGGTCAATTTGACCAAACCGTCAATTCGTTCAAAGATATTATAAAGAAGTCTAAGTTAGTATGTATAAAGGATACTGAGTTGTTAGATTGGATAAAGAAGTACCAAAGAAGAGTTTTGAAGTATAATGCTATAAATGAGTATATAAATTCTAAGTTCAAAGACCCAAATGAGGAAATGCAGAGAATATTAGAGAAGAAACACTTCAGAAACAAACAGAAAGAGATAGAATACATTTCGAAGAAATTGCAATCTTACGATTGGAAGACTTACCCTCACAGATGTCTTCTTATCTTAGATGACTTTGCTTCTCATCCTTTGTTAAAGAACAGAGAACAAGATATGTGTCGAATTCTTAAGAAGCTCAGACACTTTAACATCTCAGTTGTCATTTGTGTACAGACAGCAAAGAGTTTAAGTAAAGATGTTAAAAGAATACTTACTGACATTATACTTTTCCCTGGATTGTCCGAAGACGATTTCATGGAACTTATGAAAGAGTCCATGGCAGGTAAGTTTGACAGACATGAACTATGGGAGAAGTACAAAGTCATACAAGACCCTCATACTTCTTTCAGAATTCATATCTACGCAAACAAAGTTCAAATTGTAAAAAGTCAATAAAAATAAATGGTTCATTTACTCTGCTTGTTTGAAGTTGTCAAAATACTCTGTTATTTTTCACGATTTTCATACGGAATTCAATAAAAATATATTTTAGGGTAGATGGGTATATCTAACCTCTTTTCTAACCTCTTTTCTACCCCAGTTATTTTATAAGCGTTTTACATGGTAAACGTTATTTTTAAAATTTTGTGAAAACTCAACGGTTTGACACATGCCCTAAAAATTATTTTACTCATGAATTTTCATACGGAATTCAGCAAAAATATATTTTAGGGTAGAAGGTTAGATATACCCTCTTTTCTACCCTCTTTTCTACCCCAGTTATTTTATAACCGTTTCACATGGTAAACATTGTGAATTCGTGAAATTCTAAACAATTTCGTAGCTTCTATTTCTTCTGTCAGTATGTCAAAAGTTTTAACTATGCCGAATGTTTCTTTATATTTCTTCTTGACATCAGATAGAAGGAAATCGTCAGCTGTTGGATAGTTTTTGTTCAGAAATGTCAACATGTCCATTTTATCTTCTGCTGGTTTCTCTACTTCTTTCTTTAAGTCAGCATAGTCGTTTCGCATACGTTCTATCTCTTTGACGGAGTAGTTATATTTCCTCATTGCTGCTTTACATTTTGAACATTGTGGGTTCATTTTAGCATTGTACATTGAAATCTTACCTGCTAGTATGACTAAGGCGTCAATTGCTCTCTTTAACTCAAAAGTTGCGGGTTTTATCTGTTCATTCCATACCTTACCTCTTCTATCTTTATCTCTTATCTGCCATACACATTTTGCAACTAACGAAACAAAGTTGTCGTAGGTCTTAAACTCCCCAGATTTGTATATGTCAGAGATGTTCTTATATACCATATCGCAATCTTTGTCCATAACTTTGTGGTTGCAATGAAATCCAAGAAACTCATAGTTAACCTTACGTATGAACTTCTTTATTTCTACTGAGTCAGTTGCTTTGACTTCTATTTCATCGAATTCTGGAATAGTAGTTTTTGTTGTTGGATTTCAGGCAATTTGGGTAAATGGTCAATAATATCCTGCATTTCATAAAGATACTGTTCATTTGTTTCATCTTTCGCACTACAGTCTAAATTACTTGTTAAAAGTTCTTGCTTTATCTTCTGGATTTTGTTTCGAAAGTATATGAAGAAGGAATGAAGCTTTTCATCTCTACTAACATTGAACGTAGGATTCATGACTAAAGAGTTTGGTGCTGTTGTTGCTAACATGTTCTTACAATAAAAATAAAAAAATATTTTTTTAAAAAAACCAACTTTATTTTTTATTTCGGGAAAACTCATGACAAATTCAAGAGGGTAGAAAAGAGGTTAGAAAAGAGGTTATATCTAACCTTCTACCCTAAAATATATTTTTGCCGAATTCATGAGTTTTGGTTGAAAGAATACGGTGGAGCCAAAAGTGGCTCGACCTCAAAACAAGCATTTTCTGTATAAAATTCATGAAAATTCATGAGGGTAGAAAAGAGGTTAGAAAAGAGGTTAGATATACCCATCTACCCTAAAATATATTTTTGCTGAATTCAGCAACAAAATTCAAATTGTAAACGGTTTAATAGAAAAAGTGTTATTTTTTCATGTCCGAAGACTCGAAGGTGCAACACTTCCAAAATACCGACGAACTCAGAAGAGCAGCATGGCAGTATGTTCTTGACAACTTCTTTGAGTTCTCCAGGTACACCTTGGAAAATGCTGAAGAACTCCGACACAGAGAATTTGGAGAAATTGCACTCCAATACTACCTTGACAAACAAAGGGTAAACAAAGGGTAAAATAAGACTAAAAACTTAACGTTTAAAAAGTGACATTTTTATGAGCTCCGAGTCACCGAGAAAACTTGGTCAGATGTTAGCAGCTTACTTCCCTGAGGAGGATGGAAGCGTTACATACGTAAGGTTCAAAAACAACGAACCTGGAATTGCGTACCAAATTCGCAATTACATGACCATGGAAGAGTACGAAAGGTTCTACAAGAGAAACCAGCTCTAAACAACTCAGAAAAGAAAGAATAAAAAGTTTAACTCGTAATTGTTTATTTTTTTACTTGTATGGGCAAGCTGCAAGAATGAAGTCGACTATCTCAGTCTTTGTCTTGACCAGTTGGACTGCTCTTGCGAGTACGTCTGTTTTGCGGTCTCCAGCTGGTGTCTGACCTTCGTAATTGCGCATGTTCTTGAGAGCTCCAGTGTAAATGGTTGTAGGATGAAGAGTCTCTCAGACTGCTTGAGGTAGTCTTCACGGTCACGAACCGAATCTGTGGTACGAGTCGAATCGGTCGACCTTAGGGAAGAGACTGAAAGCCTGTCTCTTCCATAGGGGCTGTGGCATACTCTTTGCGTAAACGGTTCAGACCTTCTTCGAACTCTTGGTCTCTCTTGGATGAGATTGGAATTGAATTGGGGTGGAGGGTTTGACATGAACATCCAAGGGTTAGGGAAGTAAGGCATGGGTTGAGGAGGGTAGTTTGGAAAGCCTTGTGGTGGGTAGTTTGGAAAGCCTTGTGGTGGGTAGTAACCTTGAGGTGGAAATTGGTAGTAATTCGGAGGTCCTTGTTGGAACTGAGGTTGCTGTGGGAGCCTTGTGGAGGTGGAACCTGTTGTGGTGCTGGAGCATGCTGTTCTTCTGGCTGTGGAACGGGTTCAGTAGGTGGGACGTCGGACATTCGTTTGTGTCTTAACCGTCTTTGTTCTGAAACAATATAATATTGTCTTGAAAAAGTACAATATTGTCTTGAAAAAGTACAATATTGTCTTGAAAAAGTACAACATTGTCTTGAAAAAGTACAACATTGTCTTGAAAAAGTACAACATTGTTCTGAAAAAGTTCAAGACTTGTTCTGAAAAAGTACAGCTGTACTCAAATTTGAGAGACATTGTACTGAATTTATACAACATTGTTCTGAAAAAGTACAACATTGTCTTGAAAAAGTACAACATTGTCTTGAAAAAGTACAACATTGTCTTGAAAAAGTACAACATTGTCTTGAAAAAGTACAACATTGTCTTGAAAAAGTACAATATTGTACTGACTCAGTATGGAGCTTGACCCCTTAGACGAAGCAATTTATCTAATTGAGGTAAATGAAACCGTGAAGGAATATCTCAGCAAGTGCAAACCAAGCAAGTCCATTGGCTTCTGGTTGTCCAAGAATAGTGTCTTAAAGTTGGAAATTGAAACAGGTGTTGCAATTCAAGTTCCAGAAGGCACTGCATTCGATGATATTAAGGATGTGAAGAAAGAAGCCCTCTTGAAGTTCTTCATGAAACGTCCTTGGATACTACTTCCATATCGTGAGAGCCCAATTCCACGAATTACACAAATTCTCAGAGCACTACTTCACTACTCTGGACAGCCGTTCTTCATAACCTCAGAAGGCGACATCCAACCAATTCAGTAAACATCTCATTTTAACTTCACTTTTTTTATGTTTTTACTCACACTCGTACTCAACAGGTTTGTGTACAACTATTTCAACTGTGAACCTTGTATTGACCGGTCTTCCTGCAAATGCAAGTTCGGTCAATACACAATTTATGGTGGCAAGAAAGACAGTGGGGAATGTTATTCTGACATCTGTTGTTGCGCTCGAGAGAGAATTGAAATTCCAGACCCAACTCCAACAAGAACTCTCAAGTTGCCGAAGACTCATGTGAAGAAGAAGCCTTCTGGTAAGTTTCTTATAGCCATCTATATGGCACGCTTTGAGTAAAAACATTTTTTTTTCTTTTTTGAATGAAGCAAGTTAAATTCGTCCCACACCAATCTCAATGGACCGATGAAGAGTTTCAAGCTATGGTTGAAGGTGTTGAGAACGACATAGACGGCGAACTTGAAGGAGCTCAAACCACAATTGCAACCAAAATTGCACAAGTCAAGGAACAGATAGCTCCACTTAAAGCTACCAAAGCTACTCTTGACCTCATGGATAGTTACCGTTTAGAAGTAAAGAGTGGAATAAGACAATTAAAATTAAAACTTCTAAACTACGAAGCTATACTCCAAAAGTTAGCAGAAATGAGAAGACTTTACCAGAGCTACTTACATGTAAGGGACTTACCTTCAAGCAGTCCGACCAAAGATGAATTTTCTGACATTGTCCCAATTTTGTCCGAAAGTCAGCTCAGATGTTTCGAACTGCTCCCAACATATCCAGAATATGAACGTTTGCCTGAACTCTTCCGCAATCTCAAAAAACGTTTTTTGGTTCTCATGTTCGAAACTTTTATCGGAAGAGACAACAAACGTTCAGAAGAAGAACAAGATATTATTTTAAACTTGTTGTATGACTTAACCGTCATAACAAGCTTTTTGAAGTAAAACCGTCATTCTCAAACCACTTCATTTTTTCGATGTCCGAACAAGCACCGAAGCCGAACACAATGGCAGATGTCCTTTCAATGTTGCCAGACAAGCGCCCAGTTCAAATTCAAATTTTGAATTTGAAAGCTCATCTGACAAACACCGTTAAGACTCTCCAAAGTAGTCTTATGGAAGAGATGACCAAGCTCAAAGCCGATGTCCTCATGAACCAAGCTTCCAATGAGAAATGCCTGAATGATTTGACGGAAACCTTGCGCATTTACGCGAGAGAGAACCGAGACCTTGCCAGACTCATCTACCGTTTCTTCGAAGAGATAGACGCCATCTGGAAGGTACTCGGAAAGGACAGAACCTCCAACACCGTAATTCGTGAACACAGAATTGAAGAAGGAATTGTCGAGGAAGAAGAGAAAGAAGAGGAAGAGAAGAGAAGAAGAGAAACACGAAGAAGAGGAAGTTTGGGCAACCCTTGTTGCCGATGACGCTTACGAAATTTCCCAACCCTACCCATACCAAATCCGCAACAAGGAGACAGGCAAGGTTCTTACCCCAGTCCTCAACAACTTGGGACACTTGAACCTTACCCTTCGGAATCGCGGTTCAATCTCCATGGGCAAGCTTGTCGCAATTCAATGGGTTCCAAATCCAGACAAGAAGACGAGGTCAGACACATTGACGGTGACAAGCTCAACAACCGTAAGGAGAACCTCGAGTGGTTCTAAGAGTAAAAAAATTTTATTTTAGGGGGAAACCCCGAGTAAATTTAGGTGTTTAGTTCATTAAGTGGTTAAATTAAGGGTAATTTGGACAATTAGCTCCCGACCTCTGAATTGGACTCTTTCGTCATCCCAGTTGCGTAGGAGGTCGTCCCAGAGGAGTTGGTAGAATTGCCAATCCAAGGACGATTTGTCCTCCCAGGCATTGAGGATGTACTGCTCGTAGAGTTTCATGACCTCTGCCTTGCACCAGACACCCTCTCCCTTGGAACGTAAGGCTTCTTCGAAGTGCTCGAATGCGATTGGCTGCGGGACCATCTGAAATGACACTTTTTGTCCGTTTGGTCAATGTTCGTGTCTCGTGTCATAGTCGACGAAAATACAAACAAACAGGTTATATATGAGTTTGAGACCAAGAATGGTGTAACTCGACCTGTCCGATTCAAATTCGAATAAAAATTTTTTATTTCATGCAATGTTTTATTTCTGTGCCGTCTTCAAGTATGCCCCAATACTTACGTTTCGATATTACATGAACTTCGGTGAAAATTTTGTCCAATTTGAATTGACCCATCTTTTCACCGACCATTCCCATTTCAATGAGTTTGTTATAGCCTTCTTCGTTCGTCATGAGTGCGTCAATGTTCTCATAGTAAACCTTCACTTTGGATTTGACTTCGGAGAAGAATTTGTTGTAGTTGTCAAGGACTGCCTTTGCGAACTGAGGGTAAGACCAATGTTCGACAATAGGTTTTAATGTGGTTACTAAGCCACTTTGACCTTGAGTGAATTCGTACTTCAAAACAAAAGGAGAAAACCTTTCAACAAAGTTGTCGACCTTCTCATAATGTTTACTCTTCATCTGATATAGCCCTACCAGCGTTTGTAAAGATATAGTCAAACGGTTTTGTATCTACTACATTTGTTCTTTGTTTTTCAACCTGAAGCATTTAATATATGTAAAAATATACTGTTTTAAAATGGTATGCCATATAGCTTCTTGAATTTGTTAAGAAGTATTTGAACGTATTTTCCATCTGTATCTCTAGCGTTTACATGAGCATAGCCCGTCTTAGTAAAATATACTTGTAATTTCCTATAGTTTACGCCGGTATAAAAGTAGAAAGAGTCTTGTTCTTCGCTGTAGTAGTAAAACTCAAACGTATGCTTGCCATAGTCTGTAATTTCAATTGCTTCATCTTCTAGTTCGTCGACAAATTCGAATACAATATCTCTAAATCTACCCTTGTTCTTATTGTTTTCAGAACGAGTGACCCAACGTAAGTTTTCAAGTCTATTGTCGTTTCTTATACGGTTTATATGGTCTACAAGAGGTAAATTGTTAGGGTTCGGTATAAAATGAGTTGCAATGACAATATGTTTAAAATAGTGTTTTCCACCCATCTTCATAACAGCATATCCGTTATTTCGCTCCCATTCGCTTAAAACTCTTTTTGTCTTTTTGTTTCTGACTTCAAAAGGCTCACAACAGTGAATTTCATATTTCTCATCTAACAAACAAGTTTCCCAACGGTCTTCTCCAACAAACTCAACGTACATTTCAAATAAAATAAAAAAATATTTTTTTTGAAAAATGTTTTTTCCTTTACTTAACATAACCACCAGCTACCATAAGTCTTTGACGCCAACCCATACCAGCTAATGAAGGTTGACTTGGTTTAGTTTGGAAACTAACCTTTGGTTTTGGTTTATCTTCAGTTTTTGGCTCACCTTCTTCTATCGGTTTTTCGTCACTTTTTGGTTCACCTGACTTTACTTCACTTGCAGGTATGGTTGTGTCGTCAACATCTTCATAAATATCATATGCCATTTGTTTTTGTTTTCCTTTCAACTTTTTGTGTTTGTTGTAAAGTTTAGAATATTTCGACTCTAAGTCAATGAGATGTTCTATAATGAACTGTTGGTCAGTGAAGAATACCTTCCCATCTGTTGTCTCGAAAGCTCCTTCAGACTTCAATATTTTATTTGTGAGAGTCTGTTTCTTTTTTGAGATACTAGCCGTTCCATTTCTATGAAAAGTGACTTTATAGTTAGGGTTTGTATTTCCAGACCTGGCACTTTCTATTATTGAATTTTTCTCTTCATCTGTAAGTTCTTTGACAGGTTTTGACAATGGTTCTGAACTTTTTGTTTGTGGTGTCAAATCTACCGTTTCAACTTCTTCGGTCATTTCATCTCAGTAAAAATTTTAGTTTGTTTTGTTTTCAACTGGTTGTTTAGGTTTTTTAAGTCGGTCTAAAACTTCTTGAGGTATAGGAAGAACTTGACAAACACGTGGTTGTGTAACTGCTGGAAGTCGACAAATCCATCTTGAGCCCATTTGTCTCAATGCTGTATTGTTCATTTCATCTCAGTAAAAAACTTTACATTCCCCAAGTTTGAGGCGGTTGAGGTTGGTTGTTGTTTACCCATTGTTGTGCATGGTTATATCCTCTGTTAAAGAATCTTTCACCTTGGTCCATATAGTGTCCTGCTTGGTTATAGTAGTCATTTGCTTTGTTATAGTAGTTTCCTGCTTGTCTTCCTACATTGTCCATCCATCCTTGAACTTTTCCTCTTGTTTCAGGATTTGGAATAAGATTTGCTGCATCTCGTGCTACATCCCAACCTTTCTGTACAGTTTGTATAATAGGTTGTGCTTTCTCTTTAAGTATACCTAATGTACTCAAAATCTTCCTTCCAACTCCAAATACACCTCTGGCTATTGTTCCCACTGCGGGCAAAAATCTGGATGCAACTCCTGCTAATGCGCCAAATAAACCCATTTCTTACAGGGTAAAAAATGACGAATCCAAACAAGGACCCCTATGTTTCTAAGGCAACAAAGAAAGCACTCATGATAAAAATCTTTAGTTCAACACCAAATGCTTGGTTTATGGATATCTTGGAAAACATTCCGAGGTATAGAGAAGATGGACCACCATACTGGCTAATATTTGTTGGTCAAAACACAAGATACTGTGAAGCCATACCATTATGGTCCAAAAATATTTTAGATGTGAAAACTGCTTTGACAATATTCGTTGACAAATACCATCCAACAAAACTGACATCTGACTGTGAAAGTTCTTTCAAATCAGACGATATTAAAAACTATCTGCGTTCAAAAAATGTAAACCAATATTTCATTGTCGACCAAAACCATTCTGCTCTTGGTGTCATTGACAGTTGTATAAAAATCTTAAGAGACTTAAACCAACCACAAGGTGGTGAGGTAGATGAAATGTCATATGACGACAAATATAGACATTTCTCCATGGCAAAGATGAGACAAGTTTTAAATATTTACAATAGCCGTAAACAAAAAGGTTTGGGAAACCACTCCCCCGAAGAAATGAAAAACAACCCCGACTTAGAGAAAGACTATATATTTAATAGTTTAGTTAAGAGGGATAGACAAGAAAGAATGCCAGGCTTCAAACTTAAGAAAGGTGACAAAGTAAAAATAGAAATACCCAAACGCGACCCATATGAAAATACTATTGACTATGACAACAATGGGAACCCGACAGGTACTCACATTCGTGTTCGTAAAAATAGAAGAAAGTATACAAGAGAATATTATGAAGTTTTAGGCAAACATGGCAAAATGTACAGACTGCAAGCAGAAGATAAAACTACTATTGTCAGACCTCGTTTCAAACTTGTCAAAGTTCAAGGTGGTATACTTTCAAAGACAGTTCCTAACAAATATAAGACAACTCCTGACGAATATGCTAAAGAAGTTGAAAATGACGACTAAGCATTTCTATACCATGCGTAAACTGTCATGTAAGGTGGCATGTAGTCTTTACTCTGCCCCGTTGTTTGCGTATACCCTGAAACGCGATGTGTATGGTTTCCTTCTCCCTGAGTGTCACTCCAATAACAATTTATAGCAAACTTAACGTTGTCTTTAACATCATATCCTTTACCTTTTGTCATTCCTGACCAATCCCAATATCTATGCTTATGCCAACCTGCTTGAGATGTACTTAAATCTATGTAGTGACTGTGTGCAGGTAAGTTTTCACCTGAAATCGTTTTACTTCCACCTGTTTCCTTTGAAGAGTTTGCACAATACAAAAACCTGTCGACTATTTGAGTCCAAGTTCCAAAACCCAGAACTGTTTCTGGTCTGGTAGAGTTCATTGACGTATAAATAGAGCCTATAGGATATAATGTTTGAAGCATTTCTGTCTTTAATGTTTGAAGCTCTGTTTTGTCTGCTTTTTTATATAACTTTTCTTCAAGTTCATTTACGTCAGAGATGCTATGTCTATGATATTTTTGTGGGTATGTTCCTTCTGTCCATGCTAAAATACGTTCTTTTGTTGCATCTACATATCCAGCTATCCATGTCGAGTCTGCTTTTGTATTCCTTAACTCTGTAACACCTTTCTCAAGCTCTTTCAACTGTTGTCCATCTTCCATTAAACCTCTGGTATGACTTGAAACCGTTTGTGCCAACATATCTACAGTTTCTTTGTCGGCTTTAAGGTCTAAACATCCTGAAACCCACCCTGTATTGGCTTTACCTTCTAAAATCTTCGATGTCCGTTCATGGTACCATTCAACCCTTTTTATAATTTCATTGTCTTTTTCATCCACATATTCCTTATCTGCCTTCTTCACTAACGCACTAGCCACACGTGCTAACTCATCGTCTACATATTCTTTGTCAGCTTTGTTGTCAACATCTGCTTTCAAAAGAAGTTCATTTATAGGTTTCTCGTTTAAAGTTCGTTTTGTTGGATTTATACAAACAGTATGGTTCTTATTGTCTTGAAACAGAAACTCATCTGTCATTGGGTTTAATGTCAGTTTTAGGTTTCCTTCTTTCAATGACTCAGATATCTTAGAATAGTTTGAAAAGTTTGTTGTGTTCTTATTTAGAGCTTGCATAATGAGTTGTCGGTTGTGTTGTATTTCTCTCATAGACGCTGTTTCATTTGACATTTTTATTCTAGATAAAATATGCTTCCAATAGAAAAAGAAAATTCAAGAGTTGCTACAACTAAACCATTAGATGAACTTTTTACTAATGTCGGTCAAAAGTTTGAGACAGAGACCGTAAAGCATGAAGGCTATCGTTTTGACTACCCATTAAGATGGTTAAGAGACCCATCTGTCACAAAAGCTATTGGCTTTCGTAGAATGAAGTTTGTGTCTGTAGAAGATAAAAGTTTTCCATTTATTGTAAGGTTTCATATAGATTATATATCTGAAGGGAAACGAAAAATGTGGGAAGAAATTGAGCTAATACAAGTTGACCTTTCATCTTCTCTACAGACTGCGTTAAAAAATATAGAAGATAAAATAAATTCATGTTATGCAAAATATGCTGATGAATATGCAAATACCGAGAGCACACTTTATGTGAGAATTGTATATGACAAACAAAATTCACAAGTGTCATTTCAAATCTACGAAGACAATCCAAAGAAAGACGAACAAATATATACAGAATTCACTGCAATGTCATGGTATTATTTGCAAAGAATGTTAAATCAGAAAGTCGAACTTCCTTTAGCAAATATTTACAGTCGATATGCAAGAGATGAACCATATTTATTTAAAGATGTTTTCGACCCAGCTGCTATTATTGTTCATGCTTCATTTTCTGGCGCCCAAAACTCTTTCTTATGCTTGGCAAATGACTTTTACGAAAAACCTACAAAGTTATACGAACCACCAAGTGGAAGTATTTCAGACTTTCAAGTATGGTTTACTACAGATGGAAGAAAAAGAATAATTCCATTATACCATGCGTTTTACTTAGAACTTAGTTTCATA